GAATTTTTACGCGACTTTTTGAAAAATGAAAATTTCAACAACGTATACCGGTTCGAGATTACTATATTTTTGAAAATTTTTTACGATTTCTCAAAATTTCTCAATATAACTCAAGGTTGCTCATGATTTCTCAAGATTTCTCAATATTTCTCAAATTTTTTCGAAGATTTCTCTGAGATATCAACATTTCTCAAAATTGCTCATTATTTCTCAAGATTTCTCAATTCCGCGAGATTTGTCGCGGTTTTTCGAGGTTTTTCAAAGTTTCGAGATTTCGAAATTCCGAGATTTCTAGATTTCAAAATTTCAAGATTCTAAGATTTCTCAAGTTTTCTAGGGATTTTTACGATTTCCCAGGATTTCTCAACACTTCTAGACGTTTCCAGGTTTTGAGGTTTTGAGATTTCGAAATTTCTCAAGATTTCTTCCAGACATTCTCGAAATTTCTCGACACTTCACAGGATTTCTCAGGATCTTGATTGAGATCTACATTTCTGAATTTTTTGAGAATTTTTAGGCAACGTTTTGAAAAATGAAAATTTTTACTACGTATACCGGTTCGAGACTACTATATTTTTGAAAATCTTTTACGATTTCTCAAAATGTCTCAAGATAACTTAAGGTTGCTCACGATTTCTCAAGATTTCTCAATATTTTTCAAAAATTTTCGGAGATTTCTCTGAGATATCCTCAACATTTCTCAAAATTGCTCAATATTTCTCAAGATTTCTCAATTCCGCGATATTTGTTGCGGTTTCTCGAGGTTTTTCGAAGTTTCGAGATTTCCAGATTTCAAAATTTCAAGATTCCAAGATTTCTCAAGTTTTCTCGGGATTTTTTTAAGATTCCTCAGAATTTCTCAAGATTTCGCAGGATTTCTCAACATTTCTAGACGTTTACAGGTTTTGAGGTTTTGAGATTTCGAAATTTCTCAAGATTTCTTCCAGACATTCTCGAAGTTTCTCGATACTTCTCAGGATTTCTCAGGATTTTGATTGAGATCTACATCTCTGAATTTTTTGAGAATTTTTACGCGACTTTTTGAAAAATGAAAATTTCAACAACGTATACCGGTTCGAGATTACTATATTTTTGAAAATTTTTTACGATTTCTCAAAATTTCTCAATATAACTCAAGGTTGCTCATGATTTCTCAAGATTTCTCAATATTTCTCAAATTTTTTCGAAGATTTCTCTGAGATATCAACATTTCTCAAAATTGCTCATTATTTCTCAAGATTTCTCAATTCCGCGAGATTTGTCGCGGTTTTTCGAGGTTTTTCAAAGTTTCGAGATTTCGAAATTCCGAGATTTCTAGATTTCAAAATTTCAAGATTCTAAGATTTCTCAAGTTTTCTAGGGATTTTTACGATTTCCCAGGATTTCTCAACACTTCTAGACGTTTCCAGGTTTTGAGGTTTTGAGATTTCGAAATTTCTCAAGATTTCTTCCAGACATTCTCGAAATTTCTCGACACTTCACAGGATTTCTCAGGATCTTGATTGAGATCTACATTTCTGAATTTTTTGAGAATTTTTAGGCAACGTTTTGAAAAATGAAAATTTTTACTACGTATACCGGTTCGAGACTACTATATTTTTGAAAATCTTTTACGATTTCTCAAAATGTCTCAAGATAACTTAAGGTTGCTCACGATTTCTCAAGATTTCTCAATATTTTTCAAAAATTTTCGGAGATTTCTCTGAGATATCCTCAACATTTCTCAAAATTGCTCAATATTTCTCAAGATTTCTCAATTCCGCGATATTTGTTGCGGTTTCTCGAGGTTTTTCGAAGTTTCGAGATTTCCAGATTTCAAAATTTCAAGATTCCAAGATTTCTCAAGTTTTCTCGGGATTTTTTTAAGATTCCTCAGAATTTCTCAAGATTTCGCAGGATTTCTCAACATTTCTAGACGTTTACAGGTTTTGAGGTTTTGAGATTTCGAAATTTCTCAAGATTTCTTCCAGACATTCTCGAAGTTTCTCGATACTTCTCAGGATTTCTCAGGATTTTGATTAAGATCTACCTCTCTGAATTTTTTGAGAATTTTTACGCGAGTTTTTAAAAAATGAAAATTTCAACAACGTATACCGGTTCGAGATTACTATATTTTTGAAAATTTTTTACGATTTTTCAAAATTTCTCAATATAACTCAAGGGTGCTCACGATTTCTCAAGATTTCTCAATATTTTTCAACATTTTTCTGAGATTTCTCTGAAATATCCTCAACATTTCTCAAAATTGCTCAATATTTCTCAAGATTTCTCAATTCCGCGAGATTTGTCGCGGTTTCTCGAGGTTTTTCGAAGTTTCGAGATTTCGAAATTCCGAGATTTCCAGATTTCAAAATTTCAAGATTTTAAGATTTCTCAAGTTTTCTCGGGATTTTTTACGATTTCCCAGGATTTCTCAACATTTCTAGACGTTTCCAGGTTTTGAGGTTTTGAGATTTCGAAATTTCTCAAGATTTCTTCTAGACATTCTCGAAATTTCTCGACACTTCACAGGATTTCTCAGGATTTTGATTGAGATCTACATTTCTGAATTTTTTGAGAATTTTTAGGCAACGTTTTGAAAAATGAAAATTTTTACTACGTATACCGGTTCGAGACTACTATATTTTTGAAAATCTTTTACGATTTCTCAAAATGTCTCAAGATAACTTAAGGTTGTTCACGATTTCTCAAGATTTCTCAATATTTTTCAAAATTGCTCAGTATTTCTCATGATTTCTCAATTTTACGACATTCGTCGCGGTTTCTCGAGGTTTTTCAAGATTTCTCGCGGTTTCTCGAGGTTTTTCAAAGTTTCGAGATTTCGAAATTTCGAGATTTCCAGATTTCGAAATTTTAAGATTCCAAGATATCTCAAGTTTTCTCGGGATTTTTCAACATTTCTAAAGGTTTCCAGGGTTTCAGGTTTTGAGATTTGGAGATTTCTCAAAATTTCTTCCAGACATTCTTGAGGTTCTCGACACTTCTTAGGATTTCTCAGGGTTTTCAGGATTTCTTCAAGTTTGCAGGTTACGAGATTTCTCTGAAAATTTCTCTAGATTTCCTGAAGATTTCTTAGGATTTCTTCAAATTTCTTAGGGTGATTAGATTTCTCAAGACTTACTTCTGTAGTTTTCTTAAAATTTCTCAAGGTTTCGTGGCTCGAGATTTCTATATTTTTTCAAAATTTTTCACGATTCATGAGAGCCCATGGAGATTTTTTTTGTAAATTATTTAAAACAATTTTGGAGGACTTTGGTGTTCTGTTTTTGGAAAATTCTAACCTGATCTGCTTTTAAGTTAATTTTGGTACATCTTTTTTTTTTAATTTAAAACAATCTTGAGGTTCTAGGTATTCCTGTTTGAAACGAATTTGAAAGTGCTTTAGAACCTCTAGCGTCTTTTATTATAATAATTTAATTAAATTTCTTAGTGAATAGGTAATTACTAAAATCACTCTTATCTTAGCAGGTACTAGCCCCGCCCACCCACCCTCGCTTTTCTTAGAAGGAATGTCATTTGTCAAAATCGATCTTATCGCAGGTACTTAACATTTAAATATTAAGTTTTATTCGTTACGTGGAAATTGTCGATTTTTTTTTTTGTTGAAAATGAGATGCACCTTCAACACAAACTTTTCCCACAAAAAAAAAACGAAAAATTGACAATGTTTCCCGGGTAACGCGTAAATCTCTGTAGGCTGAAAACAGTGGTGCAAAGTGAGTCACCAAAATTTCCATAAATAATAATGAACATATTGATTTCTAAAGATACGTGATGAAAAATTCCACTAAAATGCTGAAAAGATAGCATTTTAATAACAGTGGTAATATAGCAAAAATTTATAAATAAACCCAAATTTGGAGTTTTTTTAATTAAGATCGTTACAGATATTCCTGAATTTAAGTTTAGTTGAAAAATGTATGTAATAAATTTTGAAATTGTGATTTTAGTAGTATAATAATTCTTTAAAAGCTCATAGGATTATTTTTGAATACTAAAATTATTGGTATTTGATGAAATTAAATGGACGTTCAACGTTCAAAATTAAAAGTTTATATTCATGTGATTTTTTAAATTTATGCTCTAGTTGGTCATAAACGTCAATGGCGAAATTTCACATGCTAGTTTTTCTTTAGCTTCGCTGAATGAACAATCTCTCCAAAAAATAAATTAAAAAAAATTTACTTAATTTCCCTATTACAAATGTACATTATTAAAAATATATTTTTGGATGAATCATTGGAATTAAAAAAAATATATAACAGATATTTTGTCATTTTTTGAAATATTAATCCAAAAATTTGTTTCACACATGGTTTTTGAAACAATCTGGAGCACACATTTGTTTAATTTTAAAATGTTCAATTTTTTAGAAGAAATCTATAACTGTAACTGAATCTATTTGATTAAAAAAAAAACCGACAATTGTGTTTACGATTTTTGCGATTATCTCTGTCAAGGATATTTTATAGAAGATATCATAGATTAACTGCTCAAAGTAGATATATTTTTTTGTAACCACTTGACTTTGACTGTCCATCGAAGTATTTCAATCAACAACAATTACTTGTACATAGATTTCGATTTTCCAGCATCGTATCACAGCTATTAAAATCCAGTTGATTATCAGCAATCTAAGGCCGCTTAAAACAACATAAGTATTTTATCAAAACGTAGCATCTCTTTGTAACACCGCCCTCCACTATTATAACTCTTGAAATTCAAAACCAAATTGTGTCAATATCCTTTCCCAATCAATAAAAACCTCCTCTAAACACACCACAATCTCCTCAACTACCACCATCATTTACGACAAAACCACCGATGATACCGTAATTCAATATTGTGACAGACTGAAGTGTTTGATCGATATTCCATTAACCAAGTATCGTATATCTCTTCAACAAACATCCACTCATTGGTAATCATTGCAAATCTGATATCAACGAAACCCTCACCAGCGATCAATAATTAAATTATTTTTCCTCTGCGATTCCCAGGTGGCCCTAAAAAGACAACAGGCAGCAGAAGACGCAATCGCCCTTCACTTAGCCTCGGCGGAAAATGGCACCACGTACGACTATCTCCCTCCTGGAAGAATCTACGGTATGCAAGTGACGTCTCCCGAGCCTGACGAAGACAAACAAAGTGTTAGTCAAGAGCAACCAGACGAGGTGCTAGTCAGTCCGGCTTCTATAGATATGCTCAGTAAGCTCTTCCCGAATAAGAAAAGGTCGGTTTTGGAGTTGGTGTTGAAGCGCTGCAACCACGATCTTTTGAAAGCTATTGAACACTTTAATTTGAATAATGCCAAAGCTGGGTCTTCTACGGAGTCGGAGAGTGATAGTAAAGAAGAGAATAGTTCAGCTTTTAAACCTGTGGGCAATGCGAAAGCTAAACCTTATGCAATGACTCATCAGAGTCCGCTTCCTATGATTTCGGGGAGTAAGGTGTTTATGCACAGTTTGTACCCGTTTTTACCGCTGTTTAACCCACAACCTGTTTTACCTAGTCCTGTTTATGTGCCAGGGTTTTGTGAGTGCGAGCAGTGCAAGCATACTTTGTATGGTAGGTTAGAGCCTAGGCAATAGGTTTTCTGTGCAATTTAATAGGATCGAATATTTATAAAGTAGCTGTGTTGTAGTTTTATATTTACTTTTATGTATCAGTGTGTTAGTAAAAAGTTGATGAAATTAAAACGACTTTTTTAATCAAGGGATCCTTATGCATTCCTATCATCGTGAACACGATAAATTTATTTATTTATCTCTACCGAAAATTTGATGAAGTCATTTTAAAATTTTGCTAAGTATTTCCTAATTAAAATGTGTCAAGTATTGTTCTGGAAATGTAATATTTTTTATTTTAATACATACACGGATGTTTCGTTAAAAATAAAATTTCTAAGTCAATTTTTATAATAATTTATCGAGAAAACGGGACTCTCGGGTTGTGTTTCAGGCAAGGGAAAGTTTTCTCAAAATAATTTTTACCAACAAATTATACTTACAGTTTATCTCACATAACCACATAACAACACACATTATTTAGTGATTATAGACATTAATTAAACTTTTTTTGTCCATTCCGGAAATTTAAGGACGTCACGGGATTTTTTGTTGGTTTTTAAAATGTATTCTGCAACAAAGATTTTTTATTACGACATGTTGTTGAATTTAATTAATAGTATGACAAAAAAAAATGATTGAGGGATATTTCTACAGAACTTCCCTCGCCCCTGAAGTGCAACCCTATAAATCCTGCTTCTTTTAAAAATTATAAAAAAATTTTGCGATTTATAATGTCTCCAGTTTTCAATTTTCAAATTGTCTATTTGCAACTTTTGATTTAGGTTTTTATTTTGTTAATTACAATATTTAGATTTTTCGATTGTATAATTTTTTGTTTTTTTAATTTCAGTTTCTTCAATTATCTGTTTCTTCAATTTTTCGATATGTATTTTTTTCTATTTTTCATTTTCTTATGTTTTTTAAATTTCACGGCCTGTATCCATTTCAGTTTTTATTTTTCACTTTATCAGTGTTCTAATTTTAAAACTTTCGGATGTTTTAATTTTTTAGGTTTTACAATTTTTCGATTTGCAATTTAACGTGCTTCCAATTTTTAATTTTTCAATTTTTAGATTTTTCAATTTTCCATTTCTTCAGTTTTTCGGTTTGTAACTTTCCGTTTCGGTTTTTTTTTTCTAATTTTTAAACTTTCTCGTTTTTTCAATTTTCCGATTTTATAATTTTTCTTTTTTCAGTGGTAAATTTTTCAATTTCTGGATTTTTCAATTTTCGATTTGCAGTTTTTCGGTTCACAATTTTTCGATCTTTCAACTTTTCGATTCAAAAAATAGAGAAATTGTAAAATTGAAAAGTCAAAAATGAAAAACCGAAAAACTTGTAAAAATCTAAAAATCAAGAAGCAGAAATGAATAATTGAAAAACCGAAAGATTAAAAATTGAAAAGTGCAAAATCGAAAAAAAAATTGTAAAGCCGAAAAAGTGAAAATTAAATAAATTGGAAAACCAGATAATCGAGAAATTCAAAAATTGCAAAATTGGGAAATTTAAAAATAGGAAAATTTAGGAATTGAAAAATCGAAGGTTGAAAATTTGAGGAATTGAATAAACGAAAAATTATAAAATCGAAAGAAACATTGCAAAAACAAAGGAAATGGAAAAACGAAAAATTGTGATATAAAATGGAGAAAACGAAAATTAAAAAATTGGGAAAACTAAAAACAAAAGCAAGAATTTGAAAAATTGAGAAAACGAAAAATCGAAAAACAAAAAACAGAGATGTTGAAGAATCGAAAAATGAATTTGAGTTTTTGATTTTTCAATTTTTCGATTTGCAGTTTTTCACTTTGGTTTTTCATTTTCTTTATTTATTCAAATATTGGAATTTTCAATATGTCTATCATAATTTTTTGTTTTTTCGTTTCTTCAATTTTTCAATTTTTCTTTTTTTTTGGTTCGTCAATTTTTAGATTTTGCAATTTCTCGATTTAAAATTTCTCCAGTTTTCAAGTTTTAATTTTTCATTTATTTTTTCTTGAAGTTTTCATTTCTTCAAATTTTCGAATAGCAGTTTTTGGTCTCGGCTTTTATAATTTTTTTATTTTTTAGTTTCAGTTTCAGTTTCGATTAGTAATTTTTCAATTTTTGTTTGTTGAGTTTTACGACATGAATATATGAGTTTTTATTTTTAAATTTTTCAGTGTTCCAATTTTCCAACTTTTGGATGTTTTAATTTTTAGTAGGTTAGAAATGAACAATTGAAAAACCGAAAGATTAAAAATTGAAAAGTGCAAAATCAAAAAAAAAAAATGTAAAGGCGAAAATTTGAAAATGCAAAAAATGGGAAATCAGATTATCGAGAAATTATTTAAAAATTCCAAAATTGAAAAATTTGAAAATAGGAAAATTCAGGAATAAAAGAATCGAAGATTGAAAATTTGAGAAATTGAATAAAGGAAAAATATAAAATCGAAAGAAACGTTGCAAAAACAAAGGAAATAAAAAAACGAAAAATTGTTATATACAGAAAACGAGAATTCGGAAAATAAAAGATAGAGAAGTTGAAAAATTGAAAAATGAATTTGAGTTTTCGATATTTCAATTTTTAATTTTTCAATTTTTCACTTGAAATTTTCGAATTGCAACTTTTGGTTTCGGTTTTTATAATTTTTTGTTTTTTCAGTTTTAGTTTCAATTTGTAATTTTTCAATTCTTTATTATTTTTTGTTTGTTCAGTTTTACGACATGAATCTTTGACTTTTTATTTTTAAATTTTTCAGTATTCCAATTTTCTAACTTTCGGATGTTTTAATTTTTAGGTTTTACAAATTTTCGATTTGTAATTTCACCAGTTTTCAATTCTTAATTTTTCAATGTTTAGATTTTTCAATTTTTTTATTTCTACAATTTTTCGATTTGCAAATTTTCGTTTCGGTTTTTTGTTTTCTTAATTTTTTTAATTTCTCGTTTTTTCAATGTTCTGATTTTATAATTTTTCTTTTTTCAGTGTGAAATTTTTCAATTTTTGGATTTTTCAATTTTCGATTTGTAGTTTTTCGATTCTCAATTTTTCGATTCAAAACATGGAGAAATTGTAAAATTGTAAAATTGAAAAATCAAAAATGAAAAATCGAAAAAAATACAAAATGAAAAATCTAAAAATCAACAACTAAAAAAATTGAAGAAATTTATAATTGTAAAACCGAGATTAATTGAGAAACTTAAAAACTGAAAAAGTGCAAAATCGAACAAAAAATTTGTAAAGACGAAATATTGAAAATTAAATAAATCGGGAAAACCAAAAAATCGAGAAATTCAAAAATTGCAAAATTGAAAAATTTTAAAATTGGAAAATTTAGGAACTGAAAAATCGAAGACTCAAAATTGTGATATAAAATGGAGAAACTGAAGATTAAAAAAAATGGGAAAATAAAAAACAAGGATTTCAAAAATTGAAGAAACGCGAAATCGGAAAATAAAATATGGATGAGTTGAAAAATCGAAAAATGATTTTTTTTAAATTTTTTTTGTTTCTTTAATTTTCATATTTTGTAATTTCTCCAGTTTTCAATTTTAACTTTTTAATTTTTTTTTCTTTAACATTTCATTTCTTCAAATTTTCGATTTGCAACTTTTGGTTTCGGTTTTTATACGAGTAATTCTTTGTTTTCTCAATTTCAATTTTTTCAATTATTTCTTTTTTCAATTTTTATTTTTTTTTTTATTTTTTCAGTTTTACGACATGTATCTCTTTGAGTTTTTATTTTTAAATCTTTCAGTGATCCAATTTTCCAACTTTTTGGATGTTTTAATTTTTAGGTATTGTAATTTTTCGATTTGCAATTTCACGAGTTTTCAAATTTTCATTCCTTTAGTTTTGTGATTTATAGTTTGTCGTTTTGGTTTTTATTTTCTTAATTTTTTTATTTCTCGTTTTTTCAATGTTCCCATTTTATGACTTTTCTTTTTCTTTTTTCAGTGTGAAATTTTTCAATTTTCGATGTGCATTTTTTCAGTTTTCAATTTTTCGATCTTTCAACTTTTCGATTCAAAAAATGGAGAACTTGTAAAGTTGTAAAAATTCAAAAATCAAAAATGAAAAACGAAAAAGTACAAGATGAAGACTGAAAATCTACAAATTCTAAATCAAGAAATTGAAAAATTGAAGAAACAAAAAAATTGAAAAACCGAAAGATTAAAGATTGAGAAATTTAAAAATTGAAAAAGTGCAAAATCGAAAAACAAAATATTGTAAAATCGAAATACATATTGAAAATTAAATAAATCGGAAAATTAAAAAATTCAAAATAGAAAAATTAAAAAATTGGAATTCAATAAACGAAAAATTATAAAATCGAAAGAAACGTTGCAAAAATAAAGGAAACGAAGAATCGAAAAATTGTAATATAAAATGGAGAAAATGAAAATTAAAAAATCGGGAAAATAAAAACTAAAAACAAGAATCTGAAAAATTGAGGAAACGAAAAATCCACAAATGAAAAACCGTAATATCAAAAAATTTAAAAATTTCAAATCGAAAAGTTCAAGGAACGAAAAATTGAAAAATTTGGAGTGGGCAAATTCAAGAATTGAAAAAATTAAAGTTAACACGAAAAATTATGAAAATCGAAACATTCAAAAATGAAAAAACAAAAAATTGTGATACAAAAAATTGGCCAAAGATAAATAAATCCAGATTTTTTGAATTTTATTTTGTTAACCCTTATAAGTTGAAATCAAGATATGTATCTAATTTTAAACTAAATCTAAAGCTTCAAGTTAGTTTTTCCATAACAAAATTTTGTGGAGTGAGTCGTTCTCGATTTAATTAATACAATGTATTGCCTCATTGATTATTTTTTAGAGCTACCCTGTATAAGTAATTCCAAAAACCATCATTAATGTCATTGAGTTACAAAGTTACAAAAATTCCTTGTAATGTCGTAAATTTCTTAGAATCAGATTTAGTTTTTCAATGAAAATTGCATCCGCAGGAATAATATAATTGCCATAACATTACAAACCACCAAGATAAAAATTGTTGCGGTAGTTACGTCCTAGTTTCACGAAGAGGTCGTCGTTTTGCCTTGTTTTTGCAAACTTTCAGAGCAAAAATATTGTTAACTATGTCTATTAGTGCTACAAAATGAGAACTTATTACCACATTATTTACTGGCACCGTTCGTGTGATATTAGCGTAAGTATACAATTACTACCATAACTAGTTCACTACAAAACTACATACAATGAACTGTAAATACCATCAAAGACCTACGTTATTACAAAAAATTAAGCGAATATTTTCGTCCTAATCAGGCAACAAATTGCTACATACACTTTACCAAACAAAATAAAACCTCTCCGTTCCCTCGAAACAGTCAACTTTTATTAATTCCGAAAGCGTGTCAGTATTGTATTCGTCGCAGATGGAGGTAAATGGCAAATAAACACGAGAACATCCTTCTTAACTTACAAGCCAAACAAAAAGATCGAGTTAGCCGGGTGGTGTGTTACTGTAATGAAGTTAGCGAACGCCACTCGGGAAATAAGCAAACCCTTACTCAAACACAACCACTTTATTACATCAGATTTTCAACTCTTAGGGAATAAATTGTGCGAATAAATCCGAATTATGATAGCACGAAAAAAGTAAAGAACAAACACAACACAGCGAGTCGTACATTCAGTTTTAATTTGCCTCTTCGTCGAGCGAAGAGTAAGTGTTGTCCAAAGTTGAGTAAGATCGAGGGGTTTTGGTATCATCTAGAAGGACAGAACTGTGATCCTGAAATGGGTAATTCAAAAGGACGTACTTTTACTATTATTTGGAACATACCTTCTCCAGCTCAAGCAACAGTGGGCAAAACAACAAATTCATAAACCCCATCACTCTCATTAGCCACGGAAAACCAAAAATGTGGACAGCTTGTCCACCTAAGAGTGGTCCAAAAGCATAAGCCAAACTCACGAAGACTTGCTGGAGGGCGTAGACAGGTCCGTACTGGTTGCTTCCTTTCTTGTCTACTAGATTGGCCAAAAAAGGGACTAAAGCGGCATCCACAGCCCCCACGCTTAAACCAAGTCCGAAATGTGGCAACGACAATTGCGATAAAGTGCTAGCTAAAGGAAGAGCACAACAGCTCAGTCCGGCAAGAACTAAAGCGCTAAAAGCTACTCTCCACGATGCCATGGGTAGTAAACCTAGAAACTTATTTATTGCTTCGATTTCAAATTCCGAGTACGTACCTGCACAATGTGAACCAATGAAATATCCAACACTGTCTGGAATAAAAACAGCACCCAGTTGCCACCGCGAAGGCGGTGGGTTTAAATGGGCCAACAACCACATGGGTACACAAGGTTCCAAAATAGCCATCGTGGATGTACAAATACAAATAGTAAAAGTGGTAACCATCAGTTGCTTGTCGTTCAACAAACTCAAAAATTGCCCACACTTGATTTCGTCAATTGTTGTTTCGTTGCTCTTGTCATCGATGTACCAGAGTTGAAGAACTAATCAATCGTTGTTTGACGTTTGTAAATATTCAAACTTACCTATACTGACACAAATCAAGAAGGCAATTATTAGAAAAGGCGCTGGTTTTCCGAGAAGTTGGTAGGCGGCTCCTCCGAGTGGGTATCCAATTAGGACACCCAAAGCGATACCACCGAATGCCAAGGGCATTATTTTTGCCCTCATGTTTTGGGAAACGTTTTTCGCTAGGATCGACATTCCGCTTACGGCTATGGCAGCCGAAGAGCTACCATGAAGGGCTCTCGCTAGGACCAAAATTCCGTATGAATTTCCATAAGCGAACACTACAATTGTCCAGTTACGCGACATAAATTGGTGAAAAATAACATACAAAATGTAGCTAGAAGCATATTGCAAGAACCCAGTAACAAAGGGATGCAGCAACCCATTATTTCGGTCAAATAACCCATGAAAGGGGTGAACGCCAACTGGACGAACGCTTTGGAAGCTAGAAGGGCACCCAAAGGTCCGTTATCATTTTCCAAAGTTTCGAACTTCTCCTGCAAAGGGCTTAAAGTCTTAGGACCCAATCTAGAATTGTCATGATTGTCGATATTTTGGTTTGAGAATAAGTAATCGGGGATTATTGGAACTGAAATATTGTTGGTAGTCACAGTATTGATTAATAAGGGTAATAACTTACCGACTACAGTAAGAAGCACATTATCCAAGAAAAACGATAAATATATTATGAGAAACAAGGAAAGGTTTGAGTTGCGGAGAGACTGTATTAGGAGTTGCATCGCTGGGGAAGTCCGAGGTGAGACTGAATTTTCCAGGGGATGTTAATAGTGGAGCATCTGTCGTAAAGGTTACCGGGAAATCGTATAAAGTGGTTTTCAATGAGAAATTTAACGCTTCGGTTGTTTGCGGTGCTAACGTTGTTATCATCTTTAGCCAGACCCACTCAAGATTTTATACACAGGGTTGGAGGTAAAAAATTTATTGACTAGTACAAGAGAGCGACAAATAAATTACAATAAGTTATGTGGGCAGGGGGAGATAAGGCGACTCTTTACTAAAACTAGAAGAATCAGTGACGGCGCTAAGGGATTTTCGAAGTGCTAAATAAACACAAATAAGGTCACAATTTTTGTGGAACACGCACTTCTAGAACTTCCGTTAGCCTCGTCCTTAATAAACCACAAGCCAATCGCTCGAGTATTGAACAAATCTATCAGATGCATGATGTTAAATCTCGGTCATCACAACAATAGCTACTACCACTACCTGTAACACTTTGCACACTTGTGCAAATCTAACAGTTCATTAGCACTTCTACGTAACTAGCCTACAATCAACCCTATTTTTATATTAACAACTCCGATTTATTAACGCCACACGTCCGTTAAAATTGAATGAACTCCTTATCTGATCCGTGCCCACTATTTGCGGAAACAATGCAAACTTCGCTTTACATAAAAAAAAACATCCGGCCTTCTACTTTTCACATTATTGTGCAAATAAATGATTTCATCTCGCAACAATACAGTGACCTCTAAAACCTTGTCACTTTATCATCATGAACGGGCGAATCGCAGCGTGCGTCGAAATCGTCATCTTCGGGCAAATGCGGGCAAGAGTACAAATCGGGCTGTTGCATTGTCGTGAGTCCGGCCCTGGCGACGGTGACGGCATTAATCGCGGCCACATTGACACAGTCGTACACAGGCTAGAAAAATAAAGAAAGTTCAGTAGAGTGTGTCAAGTCCCGTTTTGCGTGAAAGCTAGTAATGATAGCTGATGCGGTATGGGAACAATCTTAGAACAAATGGAAAAATGAAAGACCGGTTTCGTTTAGAACGGAAGCTTCAGCAGGCTGATAATTAATCTGTAATGTGCGTAAATACTTCAATAACTCACGGCTGTTGGTAACAAAACAATGACAATTATACCTGAGTTCCGGCTCTGTAGATGTCCATGGCGCTGGTAGTGGCTGCCAGAGATGGTAAAGCACTTGTCATTTTATCGCGGGCTGCGGCAATAGTCATTAGATAAGTCCGAGGGATGAAAATGGTACCCAAAAGAGCACTTGCTGTGGAAATAAGACCAAAACAAAGAACCGAGTCCTTGTATTGTTTACCCAAAAATGCGTAAGATGGTAACCAGATGCACCACAAAAACGAAATTGTTATAACGGCGAATGTAAAGTACTTTCCTTCTTTATAGTTTCTTTGGCATTTGATGATAAGAGGAGAGAGACAGAGAAGAAGGAGCAGGAGCATCACGTTATATGAAAGAAGATAGATGAAAGAGTGTCCTTTGAAGATGTCGTTACAACGGTTAACTACCTGGAAGCTAAGAGCTGCTTGTACACCAAAAATAAATAGACAGAGGAAAGACTGAACAGGACCTGCGACGTGCGACATAAAACCTATTTCTTTCGAAGCTGTAGCCAGAAGAATGCTTCGACTCAAGATTAGGGAAAAAGCTGCCGCAAAGCTCAGAGTTATGGCTAAAGCTCTAGCTACACAAATCGAATTTTTGGAACTTTTGTCCCCTTCGAGTGATAGCGGAAGGATTGAGCAATACATCAACATCACAGTGATTAAAAGGAGTATTGACAACATGGGGTTACCTTCCAGGACGTTCCTGCGACAGATTGATACAAGAAGGAAGATTAAAATAGCTATGCAAAGTAAAACCCCGAGTAAGGATAAAGACAAGAAAGCAAAAACCCAACTCTCTGTTCGTATAGTCATTTCACAGTCTTCGGGTGCAAACTTGAAGTTGCTACGAAAGTCGAAATTTTTGCACTGCTTCTGGCAACCTCCCTCTTGAGACATGCATGTGTAGCTAGACGTGTTATTGTCGAAATCAAACGAAGACAACTGAGTTAAATTATCACTGAAGAAATTATAGACGAAGAGTTTGGTACGAAGGAGTGAGGCATTGTCAGACTTGTAGATGTAATAGTTAATACTGGATGTTTCAATTTTGAGCAAATCGATAATTTGAGATGGTTCCAACATGAATGGGCGCGCTTTTCCGAAATTTTTGAGACACAGTTTGTAGTTGGAGTGGGTACAGTTGTTGAGAGCTTGTTTCAGACTTTGCGCGTAGGTTACCAATGGGGTGGCGATTTCAAACAGTTGGGGGGTAAGAGTGTAGTAGTGTTGCTCTTGGTGGTCAAAATTGTGAGCGGAGTGAGCGCTTATGATGTAGGTGTTTTCCGGTAAATCTAAAACAATGTTGTTAGTGGATTTAATGAAAAATTTGATAATTACCGTTTAATATTGCGTCATCGGTTGGGACCACGATTGCGTTGGTGATGTCAAAATTTTTGGCAACGGTTGCAATGAAGTCGTGGGTGCCGAAAATTACAAAGTATTCTGATGACACATTTCTTGATAGTTTGTTAGAACTGAAAAAATGTGGTTGGAGCTTTAAATTAATTTGGGTACATACCGGGTGTCTGGAAAATGATGGATTACTCTTCAGTACGTTATGTATGGGGTTTCAAAAAAAATAATCAAAAAATTTTTTATGATGTAGATTAAGAAAAAAACGTAATTTTATAAAAGTAAAATTGGTAACAAAGCACACACCTAATGCGTGAATACCTCTGGTTTACTTTCTGATTTCTTTGTAGCGATGGTGAGTGAAATCTCCTTTTATTTTTTATTTTTTTTAGGATAATAACCATAAAAACAATAGTCATTAATCGTTGTGCATTATTATTAATAAAACAAATTGTTATTTTTCATTAATAAATAAACAAAAAATAGCTATTAACATACCTAGGATGTAAAGAAAGTATGGCATCGTTTACATTCGTGGTGTGTTCAAGATTTTATCGGTTTCTGCCCATTTAAATCCAATAATTAAAAAATTAATTCAAAAATCGATAAATTTGGTTGATCACGTCTGCATGATATATTTGGGTGTCGTAGTTACTTTTAGTTGTTTATTCAAAAAAATATTTTTTACCCTACTGATTTTACATACAGGATACAGTTATGGCTTTCCTACCAGCCAAACTTTATAAACGTAAACAGCCATTTAACAGACAGAAACCGGCAAAAAACATTTAATAAGATAAACTATAAACAAAAACAAAACCAACAAAAGAAAAATCCATTAAAGCATAACCAACTAAACACTAGAGAAGATGTCCAAAATTCCTGCCTTGTGCATATAAGAAAACTCGTAATGTTTCCAAATTTTGATCATTTTGTGGAAACTCTAGTCTAAGATAAAACTTATTTGGCAAATGACATATCTTGCAAGAAAACAGGGCGGGTGGGCGGGGCTAATAGCTACTAAGATAAGACACATTTTGGCAAATGAAATACCTTCCAAGAAAAGAGAGGGTGGGTGGGCGGGGTTAGTTAGTGTTAGGACTGATTAGCCCCGCCCACCCTCCTCGCCTACGTGTTAGAACTGATTAACCCCCCCCACCCACCCCTCCTGCATTTCAGGGATCCATTCTATCTGCTCCAAATGAAAAATGGATCTTATTCTGAACAAAAATAAAATCGTTAGAATGAGAACAGCGCGGACGGATAGGTCTAGTACCTGCTAAGATAAGACTGATTTTGGCAAATGACATACCTTCTAAGAAAGGAAAGGGTGGGTGGGCGCGGTTAGTAACTGCTAAAATAAGATCGATTTTGGCAAATGAGATATCCTCCAAGAAAAGAGAAGGTTGGTGGGCAGGGCTAGTACGTGTTAGGACTGATTAACCCCGCCCATCCACTTCGCCTACGTGCTAGGACTGATTAACCCCGCCCACCCACCCCACCTGCATTTCAGTGATACCTTTTATCTGCACCAAATGAAAGATGGATCTTATTCTGAACAAAAATAAAATCGTTAGAATGGGAACAGCGCGGGCGGATGGGTCTAGTACCTGCTAAGATAAGACTGATTTTGGCAAATGACATACCTTCTAAGAAAGGAAAAGGTGGGTGGGCGGGGTTAGTAACTGCTAAAATAAGATCGATTTTGGCAAATGAAATACCCTCCAAGAAAAGAGAGGGTGGGTGGGCGGGGTTAGTATGTGTTAGGACAGATTAACCCCGCCTACCCTTCCCTCCTACGTGTCAGGACTGATTAACCCCGCCTACCCACCCCTCCTGCATTTCAGGGATCCATTTTATCTACACCAAATGAAAGATGGATCTTATTCTGAACAAAAATAAAATCGTTAGAATGAGAACAGCGCGGACGGATGGGTCTAGAACCTGCTAAGATAAGACTGATTTTGGCAAATGACATACCTTCTAAGAAAAGAAAGGGTGGGTGGGTGGGGCTAGTAACTGCTAAAATAAAACCGATTTTGGCAAATGAGATACTCTCCAAGAAAAGAGAAGGTGGGTGGGCAGGGCTAGTACGTGTTAGGACTGATTAACCCCGCCCATCCACCCCGCCTACGTGTTAGGACTGATTAACCTCGCTCACTTATCCCTCCTGCATTTCAGGGATCCATTTTATCTGCTCCAAATGAAAAATGGATCTTATTCTGAACAAAAATAAAATCGTTAGAATGAGAACAGCGCGGACGGATGGGTCTAGTACCTGCTAAGATAAGACTGATTTTGGCAAATGACATACCTTCTAAGAAAGGAAAGGGTGGGTGGGCGGGGTTAGTAACTGCTAAAATAAGACCGATTTTGGCAAATGAGATACCCTCCAAGAAAAGAGAAGGTTGGTGGGCAGGGCTAGTACGTGTTAGGACTGATTAACCCCGCCCATCCACCCCGCCTACGTGTCAGGACTGATTAACCTCGCCCACCCACCCCACCTGCATAGTACCTGCTAAGATAAGACTGATTTTGGCAAATGACATACCTTCTAAGAAAGGAAAGGGTGGGTGGGTGGGGCTAGTAACTGTTAAACTAAGACTGATTTTGGCAAATGAGAGACCTTCTAAGAAAAGAGAGGGTGGGTGGGCGGGGCTAGTACGTGTTAAGACTGATTAGTCCCACTCACCCACCCTGCCGGCATTTCAGTGATCCTTTTTATCTGCTCCAAATGAAAAATGGAAATTAAAATTATACTGAACAAAAATAAAATCGTTAGAATGAGAAAACGGCGGGCGGGTGGTTCTAGTATCTGATAAGATAAGACTGATTTTGGCAGATGACATACCCTCTAAGAGAAGAGAGGGTGGGTGGGCGGGGCTACGACCTTCTAAAACAAGACCGATTTTGGCAAATGACACATTTCAAGTTCATCCAGCAACAAAACATCAGATTCCTTTAAATTGACCCGAAAATACAACACCAGGGGACCTAAAATTAACTGCAAACATTTTAAACGCAGGGATTTGAAAACTTTGAGAATTTTTGATACGTCAAACATTTTTAACTGCTTACTCGATATTTGCTGATTTGTACCTCGCTTTTTATCAGGCAAACATTGTTGTCAAATGGAATTTTATCAAATTATTACAAAAACAACACAACGATATCTTTGTACATTCTAACTAAAATGGTAATTAAGCATGGTCATGGACGAGATAAATATTAACGAACGTAGCAAAAGAACCAATTTTAAAATCATTATAAGTCCACAAAAATGTGAGAAGAAATTTTTTTACTATTTTTCCCAGCCTCACCAGTTGATTGTTAAAAACGTAGAGGAGAGTTAATCCACCATTTTCCAGACACCCCTTTATTAAAGTTGACTTTTTCCTAAGCAGGGTGTTTACGTATATAGTTTTTAAATGAAAAAAAAATAAGATTTTTATCTTAATGGTATCAATATTTTATCTCTAAGGTGCATTTTTTATTGACCTTCATCTTTTTTTATTTTTCGAAGTAGTTGTTGCATCATTCGGCCTACTCGAGTAGATTTCAGAGTAATAAACATTCAAATTTTATTTGCTACATCCTCACGAATTTAATATCTACAAGTGTAATAAAAACTTTTAATAGGGGAATGTGGGACAAAATGTGATAAAACCAAAAACGAAACATTACATTAAAATTTGAATTTGTGTAGTAGGTTTAGGTGGTTTCTGATAAATACAGAGTCATGTGTCATGTATATTCGTACTACGCACTGGTATTCCCAGTTAGTTGACAGTGACAAACACTACATACAAAAATTTCACTGTCTGTATAGGGGAACTGTAAAACTTGTAAATATTTGTGTTTTTGCTTTATTTATAACAGCAACGCATATTTCATTATATTATAAGTAATGTACTAGAATATATCCGTAATTTAATTATTAAAAAATATAGTATTTTTCTCGCAACTTTTCCATTTTAGTTTACCCTCCTATAGACAATTATTTTTAAAATAATCTGGATCAATATGAGAAAGATTAATGACACCTTTGTTATGTGCTTAAAAATGGAAGAAAGAAGACGAAGAAGCTTTTAAATTTTAAATATAATTATATAATTCACTACTTAAGACAGTCTTGTGTTTAATTTTATGGCATTTTTTTCTGTTGTCAATAAAAACTTCGTAACACGGAAACCGCATATCTCTTTAAATCGAACAAAAAATACATCCATTAGTGAATGAACATCTGCCGTTACGTGAATAATAGTAACACGTGTATTTACTTACTTGGCAGCGAGAAAATACTCATTGACACAAATCCATTCCTTTCGAGAAACTTTTAAAAATTCGTCTAAAACAACTTCGTCTTGTGCAACCACCGTAACATTTTCCACCCAATTTAGAGCCCTTAGTAACGCAACCGAAGCCTTAACTAGCGGTAAAGCGCACTTAACCGTTTGCATAACACTTAAATCCAATACGTCACAAAACTTTTGAACTTTCGAGGAAAAACGCGACGTGGTGACCAAACCCAGCAAAAATTCTTCCTTTTTTTTCTGAAACAAGTCAAAAATCGTGGCGTATTCTTCATCCTCGTTACACGTCTTGTAAATGGTCATTCCAAAACTCAGTCCTGGCACAACATCGGAAGAGTTGAGCTGGTGTATGGTCCATATTACCGAATCCACCATAGAATGTTCAAACTCCGTAAGGAGATCCGTGCTGTTGCATTCGTTACGTAAAATAACCGCTACGTTCACGTCCCCGTCCCTTCTCCGAACTTCTTTAACCCCGTCTAACTTTATTGCACCGAAATTCGTGAGAATGAGTACGATCGAATAAAAGGCCCTCATTGCACTGGCACCTATTTTCACGTACGCTCATGAAACTCAAATACAATGGCCCACGAGCGTTTTCCGGTTCCGTCAAACGCATCAATGCACAATTTCTTGTTTTTATTTTTAATGTTTGGACAAAATAGAGGACCTTGCTCGAGCCCATCCACAACCCCACTGTGTGACTCAGAAATAATTTGCTTAGCAACGAATCGATACAAACTTGTGTATTTAAGGATAATAATGCAGAAAATCGATGGCTTCGAAGCCCCTCGAAAGGTGGAAAGTTGATCATTTTTCACACTAGATCCTACAGCAAGTACCGTTTCTCTTGAAGAAAGCTAAATATAATGATGTCGTTGACTTTCTCTGGATCAGTCCGTTGCGAGAATCTGCACGATGATCGTCTACCATGTGTACCTCAAGTATGTGGCGTTCGCGGTGGCGGCGGTCACGCTCCCGGTCATAGGGTTGGTCATCCTCAAGATTATACAGAAGTGGACGACGGGCAGATGCAGGAGTTTGGTTTGTTTGAATGGAAAAACGGCCGTCGTCACGGGGGGAGGCTCAGGTAATTATGCAACGTGACGTGTTATGTTTTATTCACGAGTACAGTTCGACGTAAAATATTTTTTTATTTTGTAAATTTAATTAATAACAATAATAACTTTTTGTGGCAAATTTTTATTATCGACTAGTGGTTTGCAATTTTTTATTATTTCAAAATTTCAAATTTTTTTGAGTTTTGGCAAGAAAGAGAATATTATTTTTATTTAAGGGATGTTTTTGCACGAGAATAACGGATTTGTGTTTTTAGTATAAAGACTACAAAATAAAATAGAAATTTCAAATATACGTACTTTAAAACCGGTAAATAAATACATAATATACATATGTACATATTGTCACAGTGCGAAGGTATAGTCGATGGATTGCTTTACCATTTTAGGAATGATTTCTTTTGTTCCCTTTTCCGGTAATTGCTTGGTATTTTCTTTATTCGTGTTGGAGAAATCAGCAATCAGTTGTCCTTTTTCACTTCTAACTACTGGTTTACTTATCGAATGACATTTTTTTATGATTTCTCCTAAGAAAGTACGTGTTTGGTAGTTAATTATTTACTTCATGGTAAACTCTTATTGGAAGCATTTAACTCGGTGATTTAAGGAATATCGAAAGCTTTGTAAGATAATTTAAATGTGGTTATAAAATGGTTTATTTTGTTTATCAGACAATTAGTTGCCACTTGGTGCTCCTATAACATAAAGGGGCATCCATTATTTATTGTTTTGGATTTATGTTACGTATATTTAAAATAAACTAGCTATAAGTAAGCGAGGAAGTAATAAAGTGGAAAAGTAGGTCCTCCGTTTCCGTTTGTTTCTTGGCTGTTGGTGTTACCGTCAAAAATTTGATGACGTTATTTCATTTTTTTTTTAACTAATGGTTCTTGATCTCGGATTTTTTTTAATTGGTTAAATAGGATTTCCAATAAAATATAATTATATGTAATACTAAAGTGTGTTGTTTTTAAGGCGTAACACACAACTTAGTTTTTTTAAATGACATACCCTATATACATTTAGGTATTCTCATTACCCCCTTCCCAGGCTTTATAACTACCGCGAGATCGAAAAAGAAATTAGTTAAAGTTGGCCATGCATGACAAGCCGTTTGTCGTAATTTAAATTTTTTTATTAAATGTCAAACTGACACTACTTTTAAAATACATAAACATGAATCAAAATCACCGTTTTCCACTTTTATCCCATTTCTGAAGTAAGATTCTAACAAAAAAGCTTTAATTTCGTTTGATAACATTGCAAATTACTTTTATTTGTCAACGTGAAGTTTAATAAAAAATCATTTTAAACTAAGACAAACGGCTTTTCGTGCATGGCCAACTTTGACTAATTTCTTTTTAGATCTCACGGTATAACTTATTTTTGAAATTTTGTTGCGAAATTCTGGAATTTTTTAGCAATGGAAAGATTCATAAAAAAAATCATTGCAGGGTTAATTTTAAAATTTGTGTTACAATATTTTGTGGAAGGTTAAATAAAGGTACGCGATTTCTCGTGGTATCAATTAAATCGAATTTTAAAATACATAATAAATGTTTATAAAAAAATTCAAATTCTGTTGATTTGTTTTAGCAATGGAAGGGTTTACAAAAAAAATCGCAACAGTGTTATCTTTATAATCTATGTTACAATATTTTGTGGAAGGATAAATAAAGGTATTCGCTTTCTCGTGATGTTAATTAAATCAAATTTTAAAATGTAGAATTTTTGTAAAAAAATTCTAAAACATTACAATTTTTGAAATATATATATAGATATTTCAGTTTTTTCCAATGGAACATATGTTATTATTATATCTTACTCTATTTTTGTTCTAGTTCTTTTAATATGCCGATGTGCCTGTTAAAAATGTAAAAAATTCCAGTAATAAAATAAAATAAGAATAGGGTGTTCTATTAAAAAAAAACTGAAACATCGATATTTGAATAATCAAAAATTTTTTATAAACACTGTATATGACAAAGTCATCTCATATACATCACAACAAGGCACTTACCTTTATTTATTTCACCACAAAATATTGTAACACGGATTTTAAAAACAACCCTTCCGCGATTTTTTTTGTGAATCCTTCCAATGCCAAAAAATTCAAGAAAATTGGTAAAACGTGACAACGTCGCATCAGAATTTCAAAAATAGACTGTGGTTGTGAAGCCTAAGAAGGAGTTAATTAAAATATCTGCGAGTAATTGCAGAAGTCATTTTTGGTAACGAAAATTTAAACCATTTTTTGAGAATCACCAAAATGAAATGTTACCAGTTTTGAGATATTTTAAAAATTTTATTGTGAAATCTAATATTTCGAAAATCTTGGTATGGGACCAGCTACAAGCTATTTTCCGAATTTTGTGTGGATTTTAAAACGACTTAAACTCAATTTTTAAGATTCCCCTCTACAGCATTTTTGATCTGCTTTCGGGGGCACTTTCGGAAATAACGTAAAAGATTTTTGTTAGATTTGACTTACAATATTTTATTTTCAACTACGTTTCGTCGAGATTTCCAACCATATTTCCAAAATTTGCCTCTTTATGGAGTATTTTAAAAATTTGAATTTGAAGCCGAATGTTTCGGCAACATTATCAAAAATTTTTAACCTTATGCGAGCACTCAAAAATTACGAAATAGGATTTTTTGTTATTTTGATTTGCAGATGTATTTTCGGTTTCATTTCTTCGAAAATTGCAATCAAAGTAAAACATACATAATCTGACTTTTATAATTATCTATACAGGGTGTTCAAAAAATGGTGTACCAACTTCACGGTAGATTATTAGGTTCACAAATCTAAGTTCGAGAAAAATCATTAAAAAATTCCAAAATGAAGAATACGATAGATAAATAATTATTTTGAATAATGAAAGTCTGATATATTTTAGGTACCAAACACAAAATAGGGAGTTAAAATTTGGTGAAATTTCGAAAAAAAAAATTAGGTTTTCAAGGACTGCATCTTCTACATTTGGACAAAAAAAAAATAAAATATTTTTTCTCTCGTCCATAAAGGGTCCTGACCAACCTGCCATAGATTTAGGGCGCTATTTTTTCAAGATGTATAATGTATAAATTATAAAAAATTAAACCTCAGGTGTTACATCGCCAAAAAACTAAGTTGTCTATTGCGCCTTAAAAGTAAAACACTCTGTATAGTTAACAATAATTTTAGAGTATAGTCCTGAAGGTACTACTCAACAACAAAGAAAGAGAACAGAAATAGAGTACCTAATATGCCGTAATAAAATATAAGGTGTTCTCTATTTGAAAAAAAGTGAAATATCCATATTTGAAAATTGTAAAAATTAAAACGCTTTTATAACACTCGGTGAAAATTTAAATTTATTAAGTATATCATAACCAAGCGCATATATTTCTTTATCTCTGTATAAAATCTAACACAAGTTTTAAAAATAACCCTACTACGATTTTATTGCAAATTCTTCCATTGTCAAAGAATTTGAACCAAATTAGAATAACGCGGCAACAGCGTAATGTAATGTCAAAAACAAACCATGGTTGTAAAGCCTAAGAAGAGGCCAGTTAAAATATGTAAAGATATATGAGGTATTTCTTAAAAAAAAAACTGTGTGTACTGCCGTAAAAACAGAATTTTTGACATTTTTTTCTATTTTTAACAATAATTAACGAAAGGAATTTCGAAAAATTCGGTGTCTTATTCTTTGTGTAAAATGTGCTGATAATCTAGTTTATTTAATTTTCCTTAAATTCTGAAAACAATACTAGTTTTTATTTTACCATGGAAGCGCCATCATAAAAAATGAATTTAATTTACAGAAAACAAAATAAGTCAGTGAAATGTAGTAGCCCCACCCACCCACCCGCTCACTTCATTCTAGTGACTGCTTTTAATATTGTTCAGTCTTATTTTTGCAAGCACTAAGCCCGCCCACCCGCCCTTTATTGTCTCAGAAGGTGTCATTTGCCAAAATCGGTCTTGTCATAACAAGTACCAACCCCGCCCACCCGCCCTTTATTTTCTAACAGGGTATCCCATTCGTCAAAATCAGTTTTATCTTAGCAAGTACTAGCCCCGCCCATACACCCTTTATTTTCTTAGAGGTTATGTCATTCCCCAAAAATCAGTTTTGTCTTAGTACGTACTAGCCCCGCCCACCCGCGCTCTAATTTCTTAGAGGATATGTCATTTGCTAAAATCAGTCTTAGGAAGTACTTGTGGGTGGGGTTAGTTTTTCTTTTTCTTTACGTTCCACTGTGTATCAATGTAAATGCTACTTTTTGTCCAATAAAATGAGTGATTAGAACCAATACCGGGTGGGTGGGTGGGGCCACTTTGAAGTTTTATAAGCATAGATTTGACTACTCGACAAACTTTGAAGTTTTTTTATTAGTTTCGACCACTTGGCATAGAATTCAATTTTCATCTCCCAATAAATAAAATAAGCCAATAAAATGCAGACGCAGGTGGGTGGAATTAATTCTACCTTTGAATTTTACAATTGTTTGTCAATATAAAAGTCAATAAAATGAGTGACTAATTTCATTTAATTTAAAATACTATCCATAAACTTTTTTTTAAATAATTTTTCTTAAGGTGTCCGCTCTAGGCTCCCTTCCCCTAATCAATTTTATAGTTTACCTAAGAAACTGTATTATTTGCTTGATTGTGCTTCAGTGGCGAGGAACGTTCTCTCTAAAACTGATCAATTTATATTCGACTGCATAATTTTCAGACCGTGGTATCCTCTTTCTAAAACATTTGCATTAGATTACAACATTTATTTTTAGATTGTGGAGTTAGTACATGGACACACATTAACAATTCTGTGCAGAGAACAAATTTAATTTGCATGAAAGCGTCTCATTTGGCAAAGCATAACAAATTTGTTATGCATCGAGGCGTGAAAATTTAAATACCATTACTCGAAAAATTAGGATAATTTTTTTTTTTCAAAAATATATGTTATATTTTTTCAATTTTCAGGTATCGGCTTCGAAACCGCCCTCCTCCTCGCCGCCCGCGGCTGCCGCGTCATCATAGCCGACCGCGAAGACACCACCAAAGCCAAAAACAAAATCATCTCCGTGACCAACAACACCAACATCGCCACCAGACACCTCGACCTGACCTCCCTGCAATCAATCCGCAAATTCGCCAAAGAGATCAACGAAACGGAAGAAAGACTGGACATCCTCATCAACAACGCCGGCTCCCAGGCGGCTAAAAATAAGCACACAGACGACGGTCTCCACGTCACCATGCAAATTAACCACTTCGGTCCGTTCCTGCTGACCCATCTTCTCGCAGGTAAACAGCGATTACTCGGTATCATAAACAATAATTAACCAGTTGTTTGGTCCAGATCTGCTGAAAAAATCAGCCCCCAGCAGGATCATTTTCGTGAGTTCGGCTACTGCATTCTTTTGGAATAATTTATCGCTGAAGAACTTGAACTACCCGAAGAATCACCCTATGAACTTTCTGCGGACGTCGTTTATTTATGGCAATTCGAAGCTATGCAACGTCATCGCGGCCAATGGCTTTGCAGAAAGGTTAAAGAAGTTTGGAGTTACGTCGAATTCGCTCCATCCGGGTCTTGTCAATACGGACATTCACGCGAGGACGGCGAGGTTTTTGGGGATTAAGACGTTTAGGAGGATGTTCAGGACGATTATTTTGTTTTTATATGGCAAGGTAAGGGATGAGGACTTCTATGTGCAAATTTTTTTCATATTTTATCTTCATGATCTTCTAGATGTAGTTTTCGTCTTTTCTTCTAATAAATTTTAAACCGTTTCAGTTACAATACTGAAATTAATATTGATAATTAGCTGACTTCAAGTTCTTCGATTACTTGAATGATAAATACATAATCAATTATCGTTTCATTTTTGACGAATTGAAGACGATGACAGAATTCAATGAATAATTAATTGTGTTAAAAAATGTAATCTCTGAAACCGTGGTGTCATTCCTTATAAATTCAACAACATGTGACGAAATCTATGCAGACGGCGGTTTTAAACTACTATTCCAGACACGATTTATTTCAATTTAAAACTGCTTGGTCATACCACTGAGTATCGTACATCAAGATAACATTATTCTGAATTTCTAAATCACCACTACAAAGTCATTCATAAACTCGAAGAATACATTCAGGGGTCAAAATTTCCCAATCTGTTTTGATGGAATTATAGCAATTACGATTTCTTCGAACCTTACAAAATATGTTTGCCATTTTATTTGAAAATTAAACATACCTTTTTTTTAGAATAACCGTGTACGTACAGTTAAATTAAAAGTTTTATAATCTATACTTAAAATTTTAAATTAATCGGTTAAATCTTCAACAAAAAATAGGACAAACTACGACATGTGAAATGTTTATCAAAACGTTTAATATTATAGGCAAATACTGCAGTATGGCCCATTAAAAGACGAAAAAGTAGGTACTCTGTTTCAGTCTGTTTCAGTTCGTTTTCGTTAAACAAATAATCTGCGAAATTATTGTATTGATTATTATTATTATTATGAAATTTTAGGTATTTTAAAAATATCGTGTAAATGATACAACGTAAATTTGTCCCATTCTCACCAAGAATTTAATGACCTCTTCTCAAAATTTTAAGGAGTAATTCGTTTTTAGATAAAAAATCCGCAAAATATTCTATAACATAATATAGATATATATATATAACATTTATCATTTTAAATATGTTTTATGTTTCTTCTTCGAAAAGAAAACTAAGTATGTTAAGAAAGACATATAGGTAAGCAGAGAAAAATGTTGTGCCTCGGTGGGATTCGAACCCACGTCTCCAAGCATTCCGGGCTGGTATGCTAACCGCTACACCACAAGACAACTTATCTTTACTCTGCTTACCCATGTGTTATTGTGCCGCTACAGTACTCCCCCCCCCCAGCGACACAGCGCGCGGTCGTGCTGGGGTGCGAAGGAGATAAATGCTGGCGTCGCCCCTACCACTCTTACGGTCGTTGTTCGAACCCTGGCGGTGCTGCGGACCCCGAACACAGCGGGCACAGGGCGGTGGCAGAAGGATGTTGCGTGCGCGTTGCCTGTCGGAGGTCACCAATATAGGTAAGCAGAGAAAAATGTTGTGCCTCGGTGGGATTCGAACCCACGTCTCCAAGCATTCCGGGCTGGTATGCTAACCGCTACACCACAAGACAACTTATCTTTACTCTGCTTACCCATGTGTTATTGTGCCGCTACAGACATATAAAATATAAGCCCCGCCCACCCGCCCTGTCTCAATTGTGATGATTTTTTTTATTCATGGTGAGTCGGGGAGGCGGACATTAAATGCAATCCTCATTTTTCTCCAAACAATTACACGTGAAACATGTTCTTCAATAATCGTGTTGTTCAAAGAAAACTATGCAAATTAAGAAAAAAGAAAGCCAAAGATTAAGCTCCACCTGATGAATTTTTCATTTGTCGTCACACCCATAGGCGGAGTATAATTGCAAAGTCGATATTTTCCTATAAACATCTATCATTATTAATATGTTTTATGTTCCTTGTGAAAAGAAAACTAAGTATGTTATGAAAGACACATATAAAATATAAACCCCGCCCACCCGCCCTGTCTCAATTGTGATGATTTTTTTTATTCATGGTGAGTCGGGGAGGCGGAGCTTTAATGCAATCCTAATTTTTCTCCAACCAATTACATGTGAAACATGTTCTTCAATAATCGTATTCAAAGAAAACTCTGCAAATTAAGAAAAAAGAAAGCCAAAGATTAATCTCCACCTGATGAATTTTTCATTCATTGTCACACCAATAGGCGGAGCATAATTGCAAAAAGGTATATTTCCCTATAAACATTTATTCATTTTAAATATGTTTTATGTTTCTTGTTGTGAAAAGAAAACTAAGTATGTTAAGAAAGACACATATAAAATATAAACCCCACCCACCCGCCCTGTCTCAATTGTGATGATTTTTTTTATTCATGCTGAATCGGGGAGGCGGAGCTTAAATGCAATCCTCATTTTTCACCAAACAACTCCATGTGAAACACGTTCTTCAATAATCGTGTTGTTCAAAGAAAACTATGCAAATTAAGAAAAAAGAAAGTCAAAGATTAAGCTCCACCTGTTAAATTTTTCATTGGTTGTCACACCGATAGGCGGAGCATAATTGCAAAAAGGTATATTTTCCTGTAGACATTTATTCATTTTAAATATGTTTTATGTTTCTTGCTGTGAAAAGAAAACTAAGTATGTTAAGAAAGACATATATAAAATAGAAGCCCCGCCCACCCGCCCTGTCTCAATTGTGATGATTATTTTTATTCATGGTGAGTCGGGACGGCGGAGCTTAAATACAATCCTCATTTTTCTCCAAACAATTACATGTGAAACATGTTCTTCAATAATCGTGTTGTTCAAAGAAAACTATGCGAATTAAGAAAAAAGAAAGTCAAAGATTAAGCTCCACCTTGATGAAATTTTTATTCGTTGGCACAACGATAGGCGGAGCATAATTGTAAAGTCGATATTTTCCTATAAACATCTACCATTTTAAATATGTTGTATGTTTCTTGTTGTGAAAAGAAAACTAAGTATGTTAAGAAAGACATATATAAAATATAAGCCCCGCCCACCCGCCCTGTCTCTATTGTGATGATTTTTTTTATTCATCGTGAGTCGGGGAGGCGGAGCTCAATTGCATTCGCCATTTTTCTCCAAGAATTTACGATGAGAAACATGTTCTTAAGTAATCAAAGGAAACTATATGTAATAAGTAAAAAGGAAATCCAAATATTAACCCCACATATACCCGCCCAGATTCCATTGTGATAATTTTTTCATTCGTTGTCAGACCGAGGGGCGGAGTAAAATCGCCAAATCGATATTTCTCTACAAACATTTACCATTTTAAATGTGTTTTATATTTCTTGTTGTAAAAAGAAGCGTACGTATATTAAAAAAAGTGCAAAATATAAGGGTGAGTCACTAAGTGCGTTCCTCTATATAATACAACAATTATTGAAAATAGAAATTGTACGGTTTTTAAATTATGTTTAGCTATACAGAGTGTTATGTTTTCGAGAGATAACACAACTTAAGTTTTTTTTTACTAGAACACCCAATATATTTCTATATATTCTCACTGGCTTCTTCCTAGAATTTAAAACTGTAGTTTGTTTTTGAAATTCCAATGCGACGTTGCCACGTTATTCCAATTTTTTTTGACAAATAAAAAAAGTAAATTGTAAATGTCAGAAACAGAACACTCTGTAGAGTTGAAAATAATTTTAGTGTATAGTACCCCAAGAACCATTTAACTTTAACTTTTTTTTCTACTTCACTTCACCCTTTATATCACTTTTTTGTACTGAAATGTCAAAATTACTTTTTAGGACTCACTTGTCAGTTTTTTGGATTGATTGGTCACTTTTTTGTACTCAGATGTCGAAAACTTCATGACACCTAGAGTACAAAAAATGTCTCCGTTTCCGTCTGTCTGTCTGTCTGCCATCTGTCCGAATTTTTATACGTAATCTCCAAAACTACTGGACCGATTATTGACAAATTTTATATGTGTATTAGAAATATCGTGTAGATGGTAAAACGCTACCCAAAATTTGACTAATCTTCCATACCAACAATACGATGATGTCATCTGCAAAATTTACGTTAGTAAATATTATTTAAATTTTGTAAAGTAAGATACTCCTGTACAATAATTTAACTTTGCAATTGCAGAATCGAAAAGTTCAAAATGGAATTTTCCAATTTAACTTTAAAATTGCAAAAACGTATGCTCTGAAATGCAAATGTTTTAAGATTATAGGAAGCACGATAAATCGTTAATCAAAATTTGTCCGTTATTTTACAATTTTACCGAATAAATGTTCTTCAAATTATTGATGTTTTTGGAAAAAAAGAACTGAATGTGGTTGGTTAATTCATCAGTCCTCTCCTCTGTGCTGCGGAGACAAAATCAATCTTCTTTTAACCATTGTATCTTGAAAGGGCTAATAAATATTCGAATTCTTTCGAAGTACAAATATAAACAGTCGAAATTAAGCATGCACTAAGAAATTGAGAATATCTACATTTTTCCCGTTTGTTATCTGGTTTAAGTATATTTTATAGTATATTTTGCGGGGTTGTTAATTACGTCACTGGTTTTTACTTTGTAGAGTTTATCAGGAAACGAAAACTGTAAATTCAAATTTTATGTTTTAAAAAAGCGGGATTTGTCGGACTATACTTCAAAGGCGAGTGAAGTTCTGTCGAAATAACCCTGACCATTTTTTTTTTTAGTAGAAGAGCAAACAACAAAAAATATTTTCTAACCTCAAAATCACTTACATAACGCCTGGGCCTCAAACTTCAGGTCGGCTGAAAAAATTCTTTTTTATGGCATTGATCCACAAATAACGATTTTGGAAAAGAAAAATAAAAATCAAAAAAGTTTACAATTTAATTAAGAAACCACGAACCCACGAATTGCTCTGAAATTATAAATATTTTATTCAATGATAATCTGAGTTAACCATGTTTGCATAATCTAGTACATCATCTTTCAGTCTTGAAAAGAAAAATTGTTATCATTTTGCTATTTACAAGAAAAAATGAGATGTCAATGTAAAGTGGTGCCGCTTATTCTAAAAATGATTTGAATTACAATAGTGCCGCTCTTAGAATATAAAGTATGTACTAACTTTGAAGCTATAATTGAAAGTGTCAAATTTACGTCAACTAACGATAAAGTAATTAAAAAATCTAGTTTGCGTTGATTTTATAGTTTCACTCTTTCCAACTCAATATGTGTTTATTTGTACAATTTTATATTATCACCTGTTATAATTATTTATTATTAAAAATTAAAATTTCGAAATTTATTTTACAGACTCCGAAAGAAGGAGCCCAAACCACCATCGCCCTCGCCGTCTCCAACCACCTGAAAACCGTCACCGGAAAGCACTTCTGGGACTGCCGCAACTTCATCCAGCCTCCGAAAGCCTGGAACAAGAAATTTTGCAACGAAATTTGGGAGAAGAGTGAAGAGTTCGTCAAACTCAAGCCCGAAGAGCAGCTGCCTGTCGAAACCTTTTAGACGCTAGTTATTTATTCTTAAAAACCCTCCTAAACTATTTTTATTTTTATATCATTGTTTGTTAATTATAATGTCGCGGACAAAGGTGTTATTTTGTAAAATATCGCAAAGATGACACAGACAGCGGGGCTAATGGTCTCAGCAGCGACCTTCTCCTAGGTTCCGACCTAGACATCAAGAGTTACTCGTGATTAAGTCTTCAGTTGGAAAACGTGCGCGGTGCCGTAACCAGCCGTCGTCAAGAAGTGTTAAGACTTGTGACTTACTGTGAGTAACTCTTGATCGTACTTCACTTAGAGTAAGGATAATAAGGTAGTACCTTCGTACCGCCCATATTTTGTTGTTGTTTTCGAAAAATAATAAACCTTGTTGTTTTCGTTATCACGTTGTCTTATCGTCTCTCGCATTCTTTCCTGCTGATTAATTAATAATTAGCCCCCCGCCGGTGCCCACCTAACAGTACTCGCCGCCAAAATAATCCTCTTAACTGTTAACTACTCGACGATGGTAAAAAAGCGATTTGCGCCCAGACCACGTTCGTCTTAGATTATGAAACCGAAAGTTTGTGGTTGAATTTTAACAGCAATTGCCCTTGTTGGTGCTAGAACAATCAGTTTTATTACAGTCCGCGTCAAAAACTTAATAAAAAGCGACTTGTCTGTCGCCTTCGGCTCCTGATTACCATTAAAATGTTTGAGACCTTGTTGGGGTCGATAGACTTTACCAAATCAACAACGAAATTGTAAAATACGCATTTTCGATGTTCGGGCGGTGAATTTTTCGATTGTTTTGTTCGTGCATAAAAAGTGGATTGGATTATTTCGGAACAAACTACTGGCATTTCGTCGAGGTGTGCCCATGCCCAGTTGTTAAGGTCATGGTTACTTGTTATTTACATTTTTAATAACTGTTAGCTTCGATCTATTTGCGAATATTTTGGGCGGGATAACGAGAGACACTCGGAGGCTGATGGACCCGGCTGGGTGGAGAATGTGTCAGGATTTGATGGAAACAGTGGCGTAACTGGTGTAAGGAAGTTGTTTTTGCGCCAACGAGGTCTTTGAGGCTTGTTTTAACAAGTTTTTTATGGTAAATTACTAAATATTTGCTACATATTAACAATAACACGAAAACGGTGTACTTTGTCACGACTGGCCTCTAAAATGACAGTAATATATATTTAAATTTTAAGAGGTAATAACACTTGTGATAAACCATCTGAGTAAAACACTTGTAAATTTTCATTCTGATAGAGACGAGATACCGGTTGTTACTATAAATTTTGTTGCCACAGTGATAATAACACCTTAATTAAAATTTTTAATTTATTGCTGCATAAATCACGGAAGAAGACACAAGTCCGCTGGATCTCGACGACGAAAATACTGTTAAAATAATAAATTATTGTTATGACAAATATTCCTTTTTTTTAATAAATCCCTACTGTGAACTTGTTTGCACCTGGACAGAGTGGGTTTGGAGTGTCTGCAAATATTTAATAAGATTTTATGACGAACAAATGCAATTCGACTGATGTGTTTACAAAAATTAGTCAATAGGCATTAATTACAAGAAGATTACATTCTCAAGAAACGTGTTTAATTTTTGCAATCTCTGTTGTCAACAATTTTAATTCATTCACTGTAATTTTTAATTTGATCACGCTATCAACAAGTTTAACTACGTTATGGTTTTCAGTTGAAGCGAAAAGTTGCTATGCGTGTATCACTGGCAAACAAAAGAAATAAGTTGATTGAATGTTATGTTGTAGAACACTCCCAATTCGCAATTAATTAATTCGAATTCTGTTACAAACAACAATCAGATCGCATTTTTATCCAAACCACTTTTTTCAGTTACATCAATTTGACACTATTCTAAGTTTTGTAAAAAATATAGAAAAAAGCCCTTCAGTATGCCTTAAAGTAATGTGGTTGGCAACACCAACCGCCTTAAGTGGGATTTATAAACGTGCTGTTGACGTTGAAGTTCCCGTTGCAGTTGCTGTTCCCGCTGACGTTGGCGTATTTGAAGGCGTTGTAGAAGAAAAGTGGAGGTTTTAAGTTGATTACAAGAAAAATTTATCATTTTATACATGTTTTAAGTTTCTTATTGTCGAAATAAGTCTACACATTAAGAAAAAAGACTACATGTAGCCCCGCCCACCCCCCCTATCTTAATTTTTCATTCGTTATCAGATTAAGGGGTGGGGCTTAATTGCAAAATCCATAAGCCCCGCCCACCCGCCCTATCTCAATTGTGATGAATTTTTTTTAATCATCGAGAGCCAATGGAGCGGAATTTATTAATTGCAAAATCCTTATTGTTTCTCTACAAGAAATTACCATGTAAGACATGTTTCTGAGTATCGCGTCATTCCAAGAATACTATGTACATATATTAAGATAAAATTAAAGCCAAAGATTAGGCTCCACTCATATCTGCCCTGATCTAAATAGTAATTAAGTTTTCATTCGTTGGCAGACCTAGAGGCGGAGCCTAATTGCAAAATCCATATTTTTTTACAAAAATTTACCATTTTAAACGTGTTTTAAGTTTCTAAAAATAAAAAAAATCAGCACAATTGAGATAGGGTGGGTGGGCGGGGTTTATATTTTGCCTTTTTGTCTTAATGTATATAATATTCTTTGAACAACACGATACTCAAAAAATGTTTTTAATTTCTTGTAAAGAAATAAGTATTTTGCAGTTAAGCTTCGTCTCCTAAGCTCTCGGCAAATAAAAATTCATCACAACTGAGATAGGGCGGGTGGGCGGGCTTACATTTTGCATTTGTGTTTTAATATGTGTAGACTTCTTTTCACAACAAGAAACTTAAAACATGTTTAAAATGGAAAATTTGTATAAGGAAATATGGAATTTGCAATTAGGCTCCGCTCCATTATTGCATAATCTACATTTCCCTGCAAACACGTACCATTTTATCCATGTTTTAAGTTTCTTGTTGTGAAAAGATGGCTATGTACATTAAGAAAAAAAGGCAAGATATAAGCCCCGCCCACCCACCCTATCTCAATTGTGATGATTCTTTTTTATTCGTCGTGAGCCAAGGGGGCGGAGCTTAACTGCAAAATCCTTATTTCTGTACGAGAAATTAAAAATATGTTTTTGAGTATCGTGTTGTTGAAAGAATATTAAGTACATTAAGAAAGAAATAAAGCCTAAGATTAGGCCCCACCCATACCCGCCCGGCCCCGATCTCAATTCTCAATTGTGATGAATTTTTCATTCATTGTCAGATCGGTGGGCGGGGCTTAATTGCAAAATCCATGTTTGTCGACAAGAATTTACCATTTTAAACATGTTTTAAGGTTCTTGTTCTGAAAAGACGACTATATATGTCAAGAAAAAAGACAAAATGTAAGCCCCGCCCGCCCACCCTATCTCATTTGTGATGATTTTTTTTGATCATCGAGAGCCAAGGGAGCGGAATTTTTTAATTGCAAAATACTTATTGTTTCTCTACAAGAAATTACCATGCAAGACATGTTTTTGAGTATCGTGTCATTCTAAGAATGCTATGTATATATATTAAAAAAAAATTAAAGCCAAAGATTAAGCTCCACCCATATCTGCTATGATCTAAGTAGTAATGAATGAAGTTTTCATTCGTTGGCAGACCTAGGGGCGGAGCCTAATTGCAAAATCCATATTTTCTTACAAAAATTTACCATTTTAAACGTGTTTTAAGTTTCTGAAAATAAAAAAATTCATCACAATTGAGATAGGGTGGGTGGGCGGGGTTTATATTTTGCCTTTTTTTTCTTAATGTATATAATATTCTTTGAAGAACACGATAGTCAAAAAATGTTTTTAATTTCTTGTAAAGATATAAGTATTTTGCAGTTAAGCTTCGTCTCCTAAGCTCTCGGCAAATAAAAATTCATCACAACTGAGATAGGGCGGGTGGGCGGGTTTACATTTTGCCTTTTTATTTGAATATGTGTAGATTTATTTCGACGATAAGAAACTTAAAACATGTTTAAAATGGAAAATTTGTATAAGGAAATGTGGAATTTGCAATTAGGCTCCGCTCCATTTTATCCATGTTTTAAGTTTCTTGTTGTGAAAAGATGGCTATGTACATTAAGAAAAAAAAAGGCAAGATATAAGCCCCGCCCACCCGCCCTATCTCAATTGTGATGCTTCTTTTTTATTCGTCGTGAGCCATAGGGGCAGAGCTTAACTGCAAAATCCTTATTTCTGTACGAAAAATTAAAAACATGTTTTTGAGTATCGTGTTGTTCAAAGAATACTAAGTATATTAAGAAAGAAATAAAGGCTAAAATTAGGCCCCACCCATACCCGCCCCGATCTCAATTCCCAATTGTGACGAATTTTTCATTCGTTGTGAGATCGAAGGGCGGGGCTTAATTGCAAGATCCATATTTGTCTACAAGAATTTACCATTTTAAACATGTTTTAAGGTTCTTGTTCTGAAAAGACGACTAAGTATATTAAAAAAAAGGCAAAATATAAGCCCCACCCACCCACCCTATCTCAATTGTCATGATTTTTTTAATCGTCGAGCGCCAACGGAGCGGGATTTATTAATCCTTATTTTTTCTCTACATGAAATATCCATGTAAGACATGTTTTTGCATATCATTCAAAGATTACTATGTACATATATTAAGAAAAAATTAAATCCAAAGATTAAGCGCCACCCATACCTGACCTGATCTAAATAGTAATGAAGTTTTCATTCGTTAATAGACGTAGAGACGGGGCCTAATTGTAAAATCCATATTTCCTTACAAAAATTTACCATTTTAAACATGTTTTAAGTTTCTAAGAATAAAAAAATCATCACAATTGAGATGGGGTGGGTGGGCGGGGTTAATATTTTGCCTGGTTTTCTTAATATACATAGTATTCTTTGAACAACACGATACTCAAAAACATGTTTTTAATTTCTTGTAAAGAAATAATTATTTTGCAATTAAGCTCCATTCCCTTGGTTCTTGGCAAATAAGAAAAATCATTACAACTGAGATAGGGCGGGTGGGCGGGCTTACATTTTGCCTTTGTTTTAATATGTGTAAACTTCTTTTCACAACAAGAAACTTAAAACATGGCTATGTATATTAAGAGCCCCGCCCACCCTCCCTGTCTCAATTCTAATGATTTTTTTTATTAGTCGTGAGCCGAGGGGCGGAGCTTAATTGTAAAATTTTTATTCTTCTACGAGAAATTACCATGTGAAATATGTTCTTAAGTAATCGTGTTATACAAAGAAAACAAATGTATTAATTAAAAAAGAAAACTAAAAGAGAAGCCCCACCCATCCGTCTAGATGAATTTTTCATTTGTTGTCAGACCGAGGGGAGGAGACTAATTGCAAAATCGATACTTTTCTACAAAAATGTACTATTTTAAATATGTTTTACCTTTCTTGTTGTGAAAAGAAGACTACACTACACGTATTAGGAAAAAAGCCCTTGTAGTTATAATATCTATTCTTTTTTTGAGATGAATAGCAATAAATCTTGTAGAAAATAATGGCAGCTATTTAAAATATGAGCGTTTCGGTGAATAGGTGATTAAATGGCTTAATGTTAGTGGACCTCATTATCTCTATTAATATTTGATTTCCGTGGAACCAGAAAAATCTCCCGTCTACTTCAGGGGATTGTCCTTAAAGTTGGCAGCACTGCACACTACCACTGCCTGTAATTATGTTGCCAACATGATTATTTTAAAAATAAATTTCATGGCCTACTAGAGGACTTTTTTTTTATCATATGATTAACTGCTACTACATTGTCTCAGAAATTCTTTTGTATTTTTTTTTAACTCTTTTGTAATATTTTTCCACGAATTAAAATAAAATTTAAAGAACACTAGCAATAAAAGTATAAACAAATATATTTTACATGACAATAGAAAAGCATTGCGCAAAAGAAGTGTCTTAAACAATGGATTAAATTGAATTGTTAATGTAAACAGTCTATCGTATCTTAAACATAAATCACTATTCTATTAGCGATTGTGTTTTAAGTTGACTATGGAACAGTTCTATTCTGGAGTGAATCAACATTAATTATTATTCATATAAGCTGCTTCAGAATGAAAAACTACCTCCTGCTTAATTTTGCTGACATTTTTGGGACCCGATAAAAGTAAATGGATATCAACACTTAGTACCTAATTAAAATAAAATTCAACTTGCTCAAAATTACTAAATAATTTTTAATTGTTGTTACGTGTACGGTAGCAATAAAATGCCGTCTTATTAAAGTTGTTTTTTCAGATTTTAAAATGACTCATGCAATCATACAAATATGAAAGGTGTAAGTGAGTATCATGTTTCTGTAAGCTTGTACAAGATAAATTTGTTGGGTTTTTCTGTTTTAAATATAAATTTTTAGATATGTTATGTGTGAATTTATTTGTTTTCTGTTTTCATACGTAGTTCAAAAACAAGCAATGCAGTTCTTTCGCAACTTCCAATTCTCAAAGAACCCATCACCTGCATAATTTATGATAAAACCTTTGACATTCCACAATTGTTAATATACAATTTTATTTTTATTTTTTTAAATGCCTTTGTAAATAGAGATTTTTCTTGCATTTAAATATCAGTGACTATGGATGTCTGTGACTTTTTTGTGAAGTTGGCAACATACCTGCTGTAACATTTTAATTAAGCATTTTCTCATTGGTTTCTTAGGCGCGGTCATGTGAAATTGACAACTGTGGACTAGCTTATAATTCAAATTGCCAACCCAAAAATTTCAAATTTTATTTTATTTTAAACTACAAGAAATTACTAGTTGCATACACAAATTTTCAATCATGTGTAGCTACACTTACACTATTAATGCAGTATTTGGAGTGTAAAATTTTACTAAAAAAAAACTAATTAGGTGTAATCACCTCACACAAAATTTATGGTCCATTTCATCGACTCTAAAAGTGCCCTTTATTACTATAATCATACCCGCGTCATTGTTAAAAACTCGACCATATCCTGTCTTTTATACATTTCCAACAGTTTTGTTTTTGGAGCAAAGTTCGCCCAAAAGCAAAATCGCTGTCTCATTTTGACTAAAAAATCAAATTAATTTAAAAACCACCTGGCCCAAACAAGTGGTCCTATAGAACCGCTTTCGATTTTTTATGGAATTATAATTTGCTTTTAATAACCGTGTTTTTGTTATTATCTGCGTAACGTCAACGCCTGCAGAAATGTTCCGATATCAAAACAGACGAATTTCCCAGAAAGATGAGAAGACCCATTCACCGCAAACAACAAAAGTCACTTAGAGCATTTTGAAATTTTTTCAATAGCATTCACGTGTGTCGAGAATGTCAATTAGGCGAAGAAGCACCTGAATCATGGCTTCAGAGAATTACCCAATTCTGGAACAATGGATAAGTATATGATTAGCACTTTAAAAGCTGCGGTTTGAAGACCTCTACTTAGCGGAATCGTGATTGATGGCGGCTGCTTTCCATCAAACACGTTTAGCCAAGCCACAAAAAACAAATATGCATACTGGTGTATCATAACTATAAATCTAAAACGGACGCTAAGTACCACGAATATCATTCTTAGGTACCACTGTGATTAAAACACTGTAATTAACAGTAAGTGATACCCGAACGCCACTGTCTTGCATATTATTGACAACCTTGAAGTGCATTTATTGTTTTACTCTCCTTTTTGGTAGTCTGCCGGAAAGTTGTCGATGCAGTTGCCCCCGTTGTCATATTTCAAAATGATCAAGATTCCCCGGAACAACTTCTGCTTATCTAATTGACTGATCCTACCCAAGTCCTTGACATTTCCATCAAACTTTATCAAACCGCTACGTACACCCACTCTATTGACACCTGCAGAGGGTGAAGTACCGCAATTGAAATTCTCGTCGACTCTTCGCTCATGTGTTTATTTTGAGTTTGTTGACTCTTCCAGAAAGTTCCTCAAGATGCTAGTGCCATTATCACGTCTCTTCGTATGTCTGTGCTTGTGTAGCTTAGTCAGAGGCCATGGAAGACTTATGGACCCACCAGCTCGGAATTCTATGTGGAGGTTCGGCTTCCCTAATCCTGTTAACTATAACGACAACGAACTCTTCTGCGGCGGCTACGCTGGTGAGTATCTTAATCGCGATGTCAAAAACCGAAAACGGTGTTATTTTCGGACTTCTTTCGTAAATTCTTAAGAATGCAGTACCAAATTAGTACCGGAGAGACCGGATAAATCATGCGATTAAGCAGAGATGCTAAGTGGAAACGTGTAGGAGGATGGTGATCAATTATAATTATCGGCAGACGAAACTAGAGGCCAATGGTACTCGGTTAGTGATCTATGGTGTATTCGGACAAAAAAGGGGTTTTAATTAAGATGAATGGTAGAAATAGCGGGCAATAAATAAATAAACCATAATAAAAGAATTTAAATTTGCATTCAAACGGATTAATTATGTGACAAGATTGAGAATAATGAATAAATAATTTAATAGGTAGAAGGTGAACTTTTTACATGATCCTTAACTATGGCCATTAGCAAGATTCTTGTTGTTTTTTGATGACTGGAACACTGGTTTTGGCCCATTCACTTTCTTGAGCGTGTTTATCACAAGTATTTGTAATTTCAGGTGCGGGCTCACTTAACGAACTCAAATGTTAAGGCCATTCGTACTTCATTTCAGGATTTTTGCCATCTCCAAAGTCACTAAATTTTTTCTTTGATTATGCAATCTAAAGAGATTTACTTATTTGATCTATTATGGCCACTTCCTCCGATCTTGCCTAGTCAAGCTCTAACTCTTTTTTGGCGTCAGTGTTAGGGTGGTCTTAATAAATCAAACTTTTATTTTTCTTTATTAAAAACCGGTTTCGGCCTGCATAGTCATCTTCAAATTGAAATTGAATAAATTAGAATGAACAAGGATTTATTACAAATATTAAAAGTAACTAAATTTAAGCCTGCATATCTGTGTTTGAGAATCCAAAACAGAACAAAAAAGTTGTCCAATTTTTGCTTAGATTTACTATTAATAGAATTAGTAATTCTTTTGTCATATTTTTAGGTGAAAGTCTCGAAAAATGGTAGTTATTTAAATTTTTAATCGATTTCTGCTTCCCACATCCCAAATCGGCGGAATGTCGCTATGACGTCACTCGCAGATCTCGCTACCTTTTTAATTGATTTATTGTAATTAATTAGTCGAATAATTACATCACGGGTGCAAATCAATAAAGAAGTAGTAAATTATGCAGCGATGAATGCATTATTTGTTATTTTGGCTAAAATTAATTAATTAACAATATCCTACAACACATTTACAACAGATAATGCACTGAACATTTCAGTTAATTATTAATTAATTGGTGGACTAACAGTAATAAATTACAATAAATTGTTTCGTTTAGTAACTGTCTCCTTTACACCCAAAGAAATAAAAAACTGGTTCATAAGTAATGTACATACATTAAACTGACAACGAGGACAAAATTTTTACAAGCGAATCTTTAACACTGTGGGAAAAATTTATAAACAAGGACATTTTTTTCGAAATTCTTTTCTAATGGTTTCTTCTTCAGTGCAGTGGGAGCAAAACGACGGCAAATGCGGCCTCTGCGGCGACCCGCACCACGTCAAGGAACCCAGACCTCACGAAGCCGGCGGTCTCTACGCCAAAGGCATCATCTCAAGACACTACAGCGTAGGCCAAGAAATCGACATCGAAGTAGAACTAACAGCCAACCATTATGGCCGTTTCGAGATCTTCCTATGCCCCAACAACAACCCCTATCAGATGGCAACTCAAGAGTGTCTAGATAGGTACCCTTTGTACCTCAGTGGTACCAAAAGCTTTGCCTACGACATTCCCGAAGACGGCAAAAAGAAGGCCATCTTTAGGTACAAGGTACAATTACCGGCCTATGTCACTTGTAGCCAGTGCGTGCTGCAATGGAGCTACTACACGGGGAACCAGTGGGGTACTTGTCCCAATGGAACCGAAGCGCAAGGGTGCGGGAAATCTGAAACTTTCAGGAATTGTGCTGATGTTGCTATACACACAAGTGCTGGGGCTGCAATCCCACCGTTGTTCGTAGGGGTGGACAATCCTTATTTGTTGTACTACAAGGATGTATCGAAGCCTGCTCCTTATAACGTGTTCCCACTGGTTGTCCGAGAGCAAGTCTGCGTACCTAACTCTTTGTATAAGACGATTCCTGGAGTGGGCGAGTGGTGTCAAAGCAATTGTTTGAGGTACCCACCAAACTGTCCGGCGAAAGTTTGCGAGTGCCCGTAAGTTAACCAATTTTGTTGCTATTTTGGTACTTAGTGGCGATGTTTCAGGTCGACTTGCGAAGCTATTGGGGAGTACGCAGGTAAACCAGGTGCCGACGTCAAGTGTATGGATGATTGTTTGGTTTACCCCTCTAAGTGTCCCACTGACAGATGTTCGTGTTATGAAGAATATTCCACCAATTAGTTTATTTGTGTTCAATTATTATTAATTGAACTTGTAATAAAAAATCACTCGCTCTCCTTGAAAAACTGACAGTTTTTCTTTTGTGTATAGGTAGACTAGAACAATGTAAGCTGGGCTGTGACTTTATTACGGAAGTGTAGTACCTACGTATTGTGACGTCAGCCCTTATCAAAATTTAAATAAAGTGTAAATGTCATGCTATTTTATTCATTATACAGATATAAAAGAAAAACTTGGTTATGAACTGTGTGATGTGTATGTAACCAGTTATACATAAATTCAGTCGAAATAAAAATAAACCAGTAAGTAGTCGTGTTTTCTTTTAAAACTAAGCGATCGAAAACATTTTGACTAAGGATTGGCGATGCTGCGTTATTAAATGCTAATAAATCAGTAATGCAACCCCGAATCAAAATATTTTTGACTTCATGATGCAATAGTACTACTAAAAACAAAGTAAGCAAAGTGACAAAAAGAAAGTGTAATAAGAAAGAACGGATGAAATGGAAAAGATTTTATGAATGAAATGAAAGAAAACAAGTTCCACTCAAATGGAACAGTGAGTTGATATTATGAAAGTAGTGACACAGACAACTCGCCTCAAGACTGAACACCTTGAATAACCCTGATATTGACAGTAGTTCACAGTCAATCAAACTTGATACTGAAAGTAAACCTGATTTGCTAACGAAGATAAACGATGAGAAAAAGATAAGGTTAAAGAGAGGGACTGTCCTTCGCTGGAATCTGAAAGCACTTTTGATAGATCAGTTTTAAGTACGTTAGGTGAAGAAGTCGGTGGTGGTGTCTACAATTATCAAAAAACAATAAATAACAACTACCAGAATATGTCTTCAAGGCCGGTTTACTGAGTGGAGATGAAGACAAACAGATTTGGGTCAGCAGGAAGAGAAGATCAGTGAACCAAGGTGAAGATAGAGAATGACAAGTGGAGGACACATGAAGAAAGGAAAGACATGTCTCAGTATTGAGAGTTTAGGAAATCGAAATACTGAAGATCTAAAAAGTTCTACCGGTATTTATTTTTTTTTATTTCGATTTTGTTTCTCAGATGTTCCAAATAAAGTAATTTTATACAAACTAAGCGGTAAAAACTAAACGCAAAATTGAAAACTTTGTGAAAATTAAATCAAAATCGTATATACACTGCCGTTTTGTTAAGTTTTCTTTGGATTGCAACAGTGTTTTAAAGTATTTTAGTTAACAGAACCTAGACTCCCCCTGTGGGTTGAGCTACCTATCAGACGTGTCCCCAGATTAAGGGGACCGTACCGGCATTGTCTGGGGAAGGGAAGTCTGGGGAGGGTGGACATGGCCTCTTGGAACTAAACACTCCTGGGGGTAATGGAAATCCGATCTGGGTTTTTCCCTTCTTCAGATATGTAGGTTACCGAAACCGGGCCCATCCTCCTCCGGGATAAACCCTAAGATCAAAGGGTAGGCTACAATAGCCAAATCTAAACAACCCCGGGGAAAAAGACCTCAGGGTCAAAAAAGAGAGTGCGGTCTTCAACCTCCACACCTCCGATAGCGCAAAAGCAAAAGAGGATGAGGAGGCAGGAGACCACCTCTAAAGGACATAGCTACAGGGAGGTAGCTGCAAGTCATCTCCGTGTAGCTGTGATTAATGTACATCATCCACTTGGTAAGCTGACTGCTAACCAGGTGGAGATGGTACAAAATTGCCTGATGGGAGCACTGGACAGACAACTTCAACAGTACCTGGCATCGGGAAGACAAGCAGCCACTTTCAGGGGCATCAAGTACACAGGGGAAATCCTAAGGAGAACCAGTGAAGACGAGATTTCTCTGGAATGGCTAAAACAAACAGTGCGTTCTCTAATACCCTTGTGGGAAGCCGCACAACTTAACGTGGTCCCCTTGACCGAGGGATGCAGAGGTCGTACTTCGCCGCCTGGAGAGTCAGAACCAATGGGCTCGCGTTCAAATTTTAACTAAACTAAAATGGCTTCTTTTCCATCCTTTCCAGGCAACCTCTTTGTGTTTGGTCTTGATATGGATGAGGCCAAAACAATCAGGGAGAGAGAGCAGAGCGCAGGATCAACTAATGCTGTCCTCTTTCAACCTGAAACTTAAGGAGAACGAGGCGTCGACTCAGAAAGAGCAGACCCCTATGGAAGAGGCAGAAACCCCAGGGTCCCGCTGAGACATAATCCTCGTGTCTCCTAAGACAGGTGAGCACATTCTTCGTGAGTGTCCAGCCCTAGCCTCCTACAGGAAATTCATACTAGGGGACATCTAGGCTAGTATGGCAAAAATCAGGAAGTTCCCACCTTATGCATTACTCAAGTATATTCAAGCAGTTGGGTGGATTGACGAGTAGAGGAGCGGGAAAACACCCTGATATGGACTTGATAAAGGTAATATGGGCCCAAAGACGAGGCCTAAGTACCGGCTGCCCCCCCTTTAATTAAGAATCCAGGATCCAGAACTTGTACTCTCAAAGAGTGGAAACGTGGGTGTAAAAATTCATTTCGCCATCAAAACAATAACAAAATTTATTATTCAGCTTGTTAATAATAATTATGTCACTGAATATTGCTACACAAGTGCGTACTAATTAGCCCACACAATAATGAGAGTAAAGACATTAAAGATAACAATATGTAGGTGTTGAATAAACATATACGCAATGACTGTTTTAAAACACATAATTATTTATTCTATTGCGTCTAAAAATGTAGCCAATCATTGCCAAAATCTGTTGTAACCAAATTTGTAACAAACAAAAAATCCTGTTTTCTTTGATTGTACAGTTGGTTGCCTATATCACACCGTCAAACATGTGTTAATCGAAATTTATGACCGCTGCTCACAATAAACTTTAATTACAATAACCCGAGAAAGCACGCTTGAATGAAATCATCACTTTCGCCTCCACTTAACGGTCACCAGATGCAGATTTCTTAAAATGGTGCGTCTGCACTCCTCGTCCAACCGTTACGCCATCAAGCTCTTCCTCTTTAGGAAAGTTGCAAAACCCACACCCATGACGTTACAGTTGCACATCGCGAACTACCTTGACGACCTCTCGCACCATCGCATTAAACAACACCTCCAAAATAATTGTATATTTACATAAGTTTTAATCAGTTCTCTTTACAAAGTCCACAATTTTAGAATTTACAAAATTAAAGCTACAGTTAAATCGTAAAGCTACTGCTATTGTTAAACTGGACCAAATGGACGGCGTCGTTACAGTGTTATCGCTTAACAAAATGATTCTTGTACAAAGTACATCGCATAAATATCGCTTATCGTTACATGGTAATTGCACTTATTATGAACTTATTCTACACTTGTTCGAGTCTTCAACGGTGAACACAAGGTTTACTTCCCACTATAGTGGCTGCCCACGTGGGACGGCGGCCCCCTGTGCTTGTAGCGGCTGCCAGGCCTTGAATGCACTATAGCGTAATGGTCGCTGTGCGACGACACTGACCTGGTGGAGTTCATCGTCGATCCGCCAGAAGTGTAGCCTTTGGGGTTTTGGGGAGGACCGTTTAATGAGTACCTGAAACACTGCTGTGTAATACAACGTTTGAGGATTAATCGACAACCCTTGAAGAATTCGAAGGGTTAGTGGTTTAGTCCCGTGGAAATGAGTGAGGGGGTAAAGTCATGAAATTGTATTATTACACGCCGCTCACCGAACAGATAGAGTCTGTAGTCACTCCATCTGTTCGATAAACGGACTAAGGGCCCGGTCAAGCCAACGCAAATGCAAAAATTAAATTTGTGAAAGCCACAAGTGGAAGTCATGGAGTCATTTGCTCCTACGAGCTGCTGTACATTATTATACCATACATTCAAAACGTCAAATAAAATAAAAAGCTTCAAGGTAAATGTTTAAATTGTACGTAGAAATTTAATACTGCAACTGTGGAGACACATTTTACGTCGAGAAATTGATTTAATATTCAGACAATGTGCAGAGGCATTGCTATTCATAACTAACAAAAGCAGACTTAATATCCCGCCTTGCAAAATATCTTGGCTAATTACTTTAGAAATTGCGTTCACTAATAAGAATTTGCCACATATAAAAGATTTTCTCTGAATTGCTTTTACCTTCATACTGCATTTCCATATAAGTCATGATTCACAATACACTTGAAGCAGTGACTATGATACTACAAACCCACTGATTTAAGTTTCCACGAACTTTAATAACGTATTTCAGTGTCAGGCTGAATCTTTGCAACTTTTTATTCAGAGTTAACTCTTTATCACTGACATTTCTTGTCGTCGTTACGTGAGCACGACCGGAGCAAATGACGTCACAAATTCCTTTTTGCCAGCCGACTTCCTCTCACAGCGAACAAAAAATGGAATTTATGTTGTTTCCTGACTTAACAGGGCCCTCAGGTAACATGATCTGAGATGTATGTCTGACGCACTTGTTGCTCCTCAAATTAAATTGCAACAAATTATACCTGGAATTAATTTATTAGAGCACTTAGACAAATTAAGTTCTCGCAACGTTATAATTTAATTGAGAAATTGTTAATGACGGGTTACCCCCTCACGCCTCTATTTACCTCGATCCATACTGACTGCCATGCCAGGACCTGTACGGATCGTAATCCTCTATAATACTAGGCTCCTTCTCTATAATTTCCGTCCTGGCACAAGCACAAGTCATCGCTGAACACAGGAATATGTTAATGATCAACATGATAAGAAAGAGGACTCCTAGTGCTACACAAAGCCACAGTAACCAGTATGGACGGACGCCACCTTCGTCGCAGAGCTCCTGGACGATGGGAGCGTCGCCAGGGTTAAGGACGAACACGCTGGTAGCCGCCATCAGGATACCTTCGTCCGTGGTTAAAGCCCTGGAACAATGTAATGAAAATATCTTACATTAATACAACGTATACGTTAATGCAGCCCAGTCCGAAGAGAATCAATATCCCTACAAATCAGCACCCCAGCCGCTTAAATTACCTGGAAGTAACCCCTTCGAGACACACCGGTTCCGGACACGACCCCCTGCACAGCCCTATGTCACACTGGAAATGCACTTCGGTACTTTCCGGGAACCGGAACATCGATCGGATTTGGGCATCGGCTGTCCCTTTCTTCTCGTCGTAGGTGAAAGGGCCGATGACATCGCCATTAGTAGGACAACCCTTGTCGTCGATCAGCGGCACCCTGCTGCTCAGCTTATTGAAGGCGAAGCAGGACTTCACCCGGAAGCCGTAGGTGCCGTCGGGACGCGAGATTTCCGCCCGAAGAGTATAGGGCTTGTTGTAGACGGCTTGGGTGATTTTGCGGCTGCCATCCAGAAGCCGGAGGGACACCAGCGAGGTTTCGTTCCGGGCGTTCCGGAAGCCGGCTTTGCCGCACGTGATGACGTAGAACTTGTCGTCGGCGAGCTCCAGAGTTCGGTGGATGCGCACGGCGATGGGGACGGAGCGTTCTTCGGTTTTCTGAAAGTGGGTATAAGTAGCGTGTAAGACTGGTAATAGTTACACCACGTTTATTATGTGAATACAGTTGATTATTTTTTGAACCATTGATGGCTTGTTTAATTGGGACATGAAGAACTTGACGTTGTAGCCGGTGTTGACAAAAGGATCAAAATGATTTTGTTTGGAAATGCGTAGGCACGTCTCTGCTGTCGCGTGTTTGCACATAATGTACACCTTCCGCAGAATAGGTAATCTATGGCTATGAATGACTTCAAATATTTGCTTTCAGCTCGAGAGTATCGCTGGTTCGAGTTATTGTTCAAACCAAAAATTACCTTAGTTTGCTATGTGCAGAGGCGGACTGGATTTAAAAATAGACTTATAAGTGAAGTCGTTGTGGAGGCGCCAGACCAGTTAAATGTAAGACGTATTTTTTGTGTTAACTACCAAAATCGTCGTTTTACATTTTTTGATGATATCTTCTCTGGTAATTACCTCAAGGTGTCACTTGCCAGAAATGTTGTCAGATTAAGGTACGAATAAATTAAAAACTTGTCTGAATTAACGTTGAGTTTGTGGTGATAATAAAATATTTTTTTTTGAGAAGAAAAAAACTTGGGGAAACGCATTGTTTAAGAAAAAAGAATAATTAAGTACTTAGTTTATGTTCACGTATTGTGCAGTCACGATGATGGTAAGTAAGCAGGAGTGTTTATCTGCAAGGCCATGTTTAGCAGTGTAAATCGACCTTTCGTTTCTAATAATAAATTTTTGTTGTTGAGAAAAATACACATATATTTTAATTGTTATAGTAAAGCAAGCCAATATAAAAAAACTTTTTTAGTAGATAATTTTCGAAGATTTCGAGAGAAAGTCAAAAATTCCATATGAGTGGTATGGACCAAATTTCATAAAAATTTCATAGCAGGGGGTATTAAAAAATTGTTTTTTTTTTCCCTTGAAAAGGATATAAATATCTTGATATAAATCTTGGCATCCTGATTCGAAAAATAACGCTGTTAGTCCCGGAGTAAGATTTTCGAATTATTCCGTTTGATAGTCAAATTTTTAAAAATGATAAAATTTTCGCATGAAAGATTGGAATTGTCGAAGAAACGCAGTCAATATCTCGTGATCCAAAATCTTAAAAAAAAAACTTTAGATAATTTTGGAAGATTTCGACAAAAAGTAAAATACCGGGACGCATGGAAAAAATGAGCTCATGAAAAGTTGCCCAAAAATCCATCAAAACTTCTAGGACAGATATCCATCAGCTAATTTGAAAAACATAGGGTTTTTTGGTCTCGGATCAAAATCTTATTCTGAAAATCTAATTTTTTTAAAATCCAAAAATTGTGATTCTTTATAATAATAATAACGTTTATTCTGCCCAGTTTGCGTTTTTAAAAAGAAAATAGAAGAATTTTTTGAAGAAGTCAAACCAAAAATAACTTTTGGAGATCGAAAACTATAAAACAAACTCTTTAGGTAATTTTCGAAATGCTTGCAAGAAGGTCAAAATTTTCATACAAGGGAGCACTTAGAAATAGATTTTTTTTAGAAAAATTGCCTAAAAGTACACAAAAAATTTTGATTACTGATTTTGACGTGTTGATTCGAAAAATATAGCGTCTTTATGGTCCCGGATCAAGATTTTCGAAATATATGCGTTTGAAAGTTAAATTATTAAAAAATCTTAAAAAAATCTTCATATTTCACATGGGCAATTTTGGAAAAATGGTAGGAATTGTTGAAGAAATGAAGCTAAATTAACTTCTGCACTTGGTAGTCGTCGAAGATGCTCGAAAAAGAGGGGGGGGGCGACTTTTGGAAAATGGAGCATTTGGCAAAGTTGACAAAAATCTATAAAACATTCTAGAATATAGGTACATTCCGACGAGCTTTTTCATGGTCCTAGTTCAAGATTTGGCAAATATTCGCTAAGAAAATCCATTTTCGATTAAAATTGAGAAAGAAATTATTACCACTTAATAACAAAAAATAAAAACATAGGAATTTAGGAATAAATAAAATCGAAACCAAGTTCTGAAAGTCGAAATCTACAAAAAAATCTCTTTTCATAATTTTCAAAGGTCAAAAATTTCAGAAAATAGAGCTTCTGGAAAAGTTGCCAAAATTTACAAAAAATTAGGCGATGAGATCTCCACGAGCTGATTGGAAAAATGTAGCGTCTTAATAGTCCCAAACGAAGATTTTCAAAATATTCGAGTTTGAATTCAAATTTTGGAAACTCCTCAAAACCGATGCTTGTATTGGTAACCTTGAAAAAATGATAGTAATATTCGAAGAAATGAAGCTAAAAACAATTTCAAGTTCGAAGCCTACAAAAAAATCTCTTTCGATAATTTTTGAAAGTGCTATAGATAAAGTCAAGAATTTCATAATATCAAAACTTGAGCTTTTCAAAAAGTTGTTTAAATATTCACAAAAAATTCTAGATTATAGATCTCGGTAAGTTAAATTGAAAAACATAGTGTTTTAACAGTCCAGGACCAAAATTTTTGAAATAAATATTCGGTTTTCAAATTCTTTAAAAATCCTTATAATTGCCATATTTTTCATTGGTGCAAAATTGTAAGGATCTTCCAGAAAGTGAAGCTGAAAATAAATTCTACAGATCGAAGTCTATTTAAAAAAATATCCTTTTTAGGTGTCAAAAATTTTCAATAAGGGTGTATTGAAAAATTGAGGTTTCCAAAAGTTGTCAAAGTCCGTAAAAAATTCTAGGAAATAGATCTATAAATACAATTTTTTAATAACGCCAAAAGTAACTTCTGGAGATCGAAATCTATAAAAAAACTCTTTTGGTAATTTTCAAAGATGCTCGAAAAAGGGTCAAAATTTCATACGGAAGGGTATTGAAAAATTCATAAAAAAAATCCGGGATATAGATCTCGACTAGCTGATTAAAAAAATATAGCATTTTTATGATCCCGGAGCAAGATTTTCCAAATATATGCGTTTGTAAATAATATTTTTAAAAGTCCTAAAATTTACCATTTTGGAAAAGCTTTTTGAAAAATGGAGCTTTCGGTTAAGTTCACTAAAAAACTGTAGAACCCCACGAGCTTTTTCATGATCCCAGAAACAAGATTTGGGAAACATACGCTAAGAGAGTACATTTTTGAAAATATTCTCAGTCTGTTTACATGTCTCCGAAAATGAATTTTTTATACAAAAAATGTCTTTCTTAAGTATGAGATGTCAAATATTTTATAATAATGCGACAGTATGGCGATTTTCCTATTAACATTTCGGAAAAAATTTACACTTGATAAAAAAAAGAAGGAAATTACGAATAAATAAAAGCGAATTCAAGTTCTAAAAATCGAAATCTACAAAAAAATCTCTTTAGATAATTTTTAAAGGTCAAAAATTTCACAAAATTCACCTCGAAAAGTTGTTAAAAATTCACAAAAAATTCTGCAACATAGATCTCGACGAGTTGTTTCGAAAAATATAGGCTCTTGATAGTCCCAAACCAAAATATTCGACTTTAAATTCAAATTTTGAAAACTCCCAAAGACTGATGTTTCGTATTGGCAACTTTGAAAAAAATGATAGGAATTTTCGAAAAAATGAAGGCGAAAACAACTTCAAACTCCAAAGTTTACAAACATTTTATCGGAAATTTTCGAAAGTGCTCGAGAAAAGGTCAAAAATTTCGTATTCAAAATTTGAATTTTTCGAAAAGTTGCTTAAAAATTCACAAAAAAAAATCTAGAATATATCTAGATCTCGGTAAGTTGAATTGAAAAACAGTGTTTTGATAGTCCAGGATCAAAATTTTTTAAATGTTTGATTTAAATTCAATTTTTTTTTTAATTGTTATAATTGCGATATTTTTCATTGACGACTCTTGCAAAATTGTAAGAATGTTCCAAGAAATGAAGCTAAAAATAACTTCTGGAGGCCGAAATCGATTTAACAGATTAAACAAAAAACTCCTTGGGATATATTCGAAGTGTCAAAAATTTTATACAAGGGTGTATTGAAAAATTGAGGTTTCCAAAAAGTTCGCTATGAAAATCCAATAAGTACTTCGTGTTATCGATTTTGAAAAATGGTGGCAATTTTTGAAGAAAGGAAGCCAAAAATAACTTCTGGAAAAAGAGTCAAAATTTCATTCTAGACATTCAAGAAAATTTCATCAAAAAATTGAGCTTTTGGAAAAGTTGCCCAAAAATTAACAAACAGTTCTACGATATAGATCTCGAAGAGCTCCGTAAAATTAATCTGCTGCGAAATCGTTTAGACTAATTAAATAAACCCACAGTTGTAAATAACGGTAGCTGCAGTTTCGACAGTGAAGACAGTATGTATTGTTTGTATATCATTAAAATTTTTAAACTTTTAGGTTAAAAACATAATCTTCTGGCCTAGAAAACCATAAATTATCGACCGTATCGGCTCTGCTGTTACACAATGAATACAAATTAGGTATCTATATGCAGCACACGTTATCTGTTATAGATTGATAAGGGTTTTGCCATATCTATTCCTCAATTATTTTTTTTGTACAAAAATGCTCTTTTTATTTTACAGTATCGAATTCAACCATTCGTAAAATTCTAATTTGTTGAAGGACCACTCAAAGGGTGTATATTTTAGGGTTAAAAATTTTATTATCAATGTCCGACATATTTGAAAATAATTGTAAAAATTAATTAAATTAAATTAGTTGGGACAGCCTGTATATCATCACAGAATTTGTTTTCTTATATTAACACTAAGAAATGATTTATTGTTCTAAATTGTTTTTTTGGTGTTGTAAAATTAGTGCATTAATAATTTGATATAAAAATGTGTTCGATGCAGTGAGTTATATCCTTGGCCTCATAACTTTAATAATGTGTAATAAATTTTACATAAGACCGTTCCATGCACTCATGCCTTGCAGTATTTGACAGTGTCGTGATTTATTTCATTTAATATTGAACTTCCAACTGAAATTCAGTCCGTTTTGAAGAGTGTTGTATAATATTTGATCGAAATTA